AGTCGCGTGTGGAAACGAGGATGCTAGTTGATTAACCGTGGTAACGTAAGTCGCAACAGGCGTTTGCCTATGCCTTCAGCTTCGCGTGGGCAGTTGAGTCGCACACTGCTTATCCAGGATCTATCGAGATGATTTACGAGTCTCCCACTTTCCACGCGCGTCAAGATGCGCCAGCACGCGACTTGGAGCAGTCCCCACAACGTTGGGCTGGTGGGTTGGCACTCACCCCACACAACGCGACGGACAGCCAGTCACCAGTTTGAGTGCGACCAAGGTCATGTGACTGCTCCAATTTGCAGGTCCCAGGGACGTGCAAGCCAACCACAGGGACCAGGCCATGCACCTGCTCCAACTACGGGCATCCAGTGATTGGGGGCCCTGAGGTACCTAGGTACCTAGGTGCGGTACCAACCTGTCTTATGGTGCCTTGCTTGTCCAGTAGACGGACAACAGGACATGCACATGCCAATTACCGATGATGCCTTCAAGGTACTTTGATTGTGAGTGAAATACCTGAGCCCAGCAAAAACCATGTGGGAAGGTTGAATGCAGTTACCTCTTCGCTTCTTGGGGCTACTTGGTTGCATATTGAACACCTGGGTGGATCAGGTACTTCAGTTCAGTTCACTCTGGAACACTTGCGACTTTAGCGGAGCAGACGCACAACCTCCCAAGATGCCATGTGACGCAACCTCGTGAAAATGGAGAGGCAAGACGGCGCCCGTGATCGAATGGAATTCGCGAGTCACTTGTTAGAGGTGTTTGAAGTGATGTGCTATGTAAAGGCGGATGCCATCTACTTCGCTACTTCCAAGAATGTCCCATAAAGCGTGCGAGCTCGAGGCTAGATCAAGCATTGAAGTCTCCACTGTTAACGAGTGACGTCGTAATGCTTAATCGTGTTCGTTATCTATCGGTCGCTCATCTAGCTCTCGGCCCTGGTCGACATACCTACTTGGATCCCGTGAACAACCATAGGGACGAAGGACAGCCCATCTCGTCATCAAGAAGACGTTAACCCAAGGCACCACCCTTTCTTCGATCCTTGCACTGCCCAGAGCCACACATATGGGACACACTTCTCACGAGGACAACTCACCAACTTATTATCCGACTCGTTCGCCCACCCTATTCCAGCCCTGTTCAGCTCACAGCCACCTCGACAACACGGGTATACTGATACACCGCCTTCGCGATCCAGCACCTTGCACTTGATCTTCGACGCTTGTTTCGTGATCAGGATCTGAGGTCATCCTACGAACCCGAGATGTAAGATCATGTACCCTTCGATGCCTGGCTATCGCAACTGCGAACAACCGGTCCCTGATCCATAAGGGTGTTGATCAACACGAACAAGCACTGACCTCCGTGCCCAGCTGCTTCAGCTATAACGAGCTACGAGTGCGAGAATGACGCACTCTAAGCCTGTCGACATGCGAACCTCGGAAGAGGGCCCGACATCATCACACGACGATCTCCCTGCTGTCTTCGATGCCAACGACGCTCCTTCGCTCAGCTCGTCCCCGCCCGACCACGATTCCTTAAACACTCCCAACATTGGGCCGATCACACCAGGAAGCCCAAGGTTGTCCCGACATCCCTCCTTCTCAGGGAGTAGCTCTTACCATGAAGACTGGGAGGCTTTCCCGCCCCTGGACCGCCTGTCGGTGCTTGATCTTCTTGATAACTTTGCACTGCCCCAACAACTCGAAAAGCTACAGAAAGGCATCTCGGCCCAGACACAGAAGGTTAAGAAATCGAGGGATGCGTTCAAGTCGAAGAGTCACCAGGCGCGAGAGCGCATGGTAGAGGAGTGGAGGCGCCGTGTGCCCACCGCTGACGAGCAGCTTGACCGCTATCGCAAACGGATGCGTGTCAGTGTTGACAAGCTGGGCAAGCAATGGGGCGACGCCAAGATCATTACTCTTCGAGAGAAGGTATCCTTCATCTGTGGTGTCATGAATATCTTCCTCAGCGGCTACCTCATCGGCGGGTTCCCGGAGTGGTTCCACATATGGTACACCATCCAGCTCCTCTACTTCATGCCGATCCGCTTCTTCACCTATCACCGCCGAGGCATGCATTATTTCTTGGCCGATCTCTGCTACTTCGTCAACTTCCTCCTCATGCTCAGCATCTGGGGTTTTCCTGGTTCAAAGCGACTATTCACCGCCGCGTACTGCTTGGCCTTCGGCAACAACGCTGTCGCTATCATCATGTGGAGAAACTCACTTGTCTTTCACAGCTTCGACAAGGTTACTTCGCTCTTCATCCATATCATGCCCTGTGCCACTTTGCATTCCATGGTCCATCTTTGGCCTGAGCAGCTCCAGGCCTCTCGGTACCCTGCCATATGGGCAATCAAGCATTCGCCCGCCGGGTCGCCGACTGCTTACGGCAACGTTTTCTCGATGCTAGCTTGGAGCTCCGTTCCATATGCGGTCTGGCAGTTGTCGTACTACTTCCTCATCACTGTTCGCCGCCGGGAGAAGATTGCCGCCGGCCGTCCCACTTCGTTTACCTGGCTTCGGCGCTCATACTCAAAGACATGGATCGGCAAGGTCGTACTAGCATTGCCCAACGCGCTACAGGAGCCCGCCTTCATGGGGATACAGTACAGCTATGCCGTGCTTACCATGCTTCCTTGCCCCATCTGGCTGCACAGTCGCTACGCCTCGGCTGGTTTCCTCATGGCTGTCTTTGCATGGAGCGTCTACAACGGGTCGACATATTACATTGATGTCTTCGGCAAACGGTTCCAGAAGGAGCTCGAGTCCTTGAAAGCCGAGGTCAGCCAGTGGCAGAACAGCCCAGAAATTCCGCTCAACTCGCCTTTGGTCACACCTCATCCAGACGGCCCGGTATCCGCCGAGCTGTCCACGGCTGTAGTCGAGGATGCCACCCCGCAGTTCAAGCCGGAGGTCAGCAGTCCACCCGGCGCCAAAGCTGCGGGGCTGTCCAGTGTGGACCAGATTCCTCTCCTCAAAGACGAGAATCTAGCTGCCGTATCTCGCTCGTCAGGCGTCGACGGCGGAGTCAAGGACGCTGCTCGTGCAAGGAAATCAGGCTGACCCCACAAGCTGGCGAATGACGTTCATCGGACATGCTGTGTTGCATCTTTGTCGTTGATATTTTTCGTTTTCAGGAATAGTTCGCGCGAGGCCTCTTGCTTTCGTATTGGTAGTACCTTATCATACTGACTTGCGGTAATGGGGAAGGATCCGGGCTTACGAGGAGCGTTTCCACCTCCACGAATAGTTGACTTGTTTTTTTTCACCAGCGTGATTAGGGTTGACGGTGCCGTTGTAATTCTCAGATACCCAGAGTAGGCTAGCGATATAGGTGCTGTAAGCAGGTAGTGATTTATTTCCATTTCTACTTTGTATCTCTCTGTTGCACCGTTTCTAGTCATCAAATACTCCCTAGTATATCAGGTATGGTGACTGTAGGACGAATTGTCGACGACCGTCTGAACTTGACATTGCTCGACATTCCGGTATAGTGTAATACAGTGAGAAAAAAAAGAATCCTGTAATTCTTGTTGACTAAACCACTGATCTCATCGAGGTAACGAAGCCCGTAAAGCTCTCCGATGATGCAAGTGGCAAGTACAGTCCCTGAGGATCATTCTACAAGATGTGTGCTATAGCTATCAATCGGCAGCTAAAAGTATGCGAATCAACAAATGAATGTCGCCAAGCCCTAGAGTTGGGTGTCATGTTTGGAGCGGCCTGATCAAGGGCCTTCGCAAGTGGGAAATCGCCTAGATGAGTATACTGTGCAGGATGCCATAGGGTTTGACCTCCGACTCAACAGCGTCACTATGCCTCAGACAGAGCAAGTCGTATTTTGAGGAACAGGTTCACGAGTGAACTTTGCAAGTTACAACCCATTGTAGTTTGTCATGAGTGAAGCAACGGTGCAGCGGCCTGTCGCTCACTCTTGCGTATTGACGACGAGACCTCGGACACAGATGAGAAACAACTACTGTCTATGTCCACAGCGGCATGAAGCGGACTTCCGCCATGGCAACCGAGCTCTGCGAGTGACGAACGGTATGCGGTAGCGAATCCAGCGTCTCGTCCAAATGAGCGGCACTGCTGTCAAACAAACCACATCGAACTTATAACAAGAGGCAGAACTGACAGGCTTTGCTAATCCCGGTACAGTTCAACAGGCCCACTGTGTTCTGCTTGTCACATCAGCGTGGTCCCCCAAAAAGAAAGGAATTACCTGGAAGCCAAGTTAAGCATGGCCTTGGATCATTACAAGAAGGGGCTGCGGCCAAGCTGTCATGGCATGCCCCACGCTGCATACGGCGGTGGTACAGTCAGCTGTTATTTTTTTCTTGGCGCTCAGTCGACACAATTACGGTTTAGGCGGACTCTATGAAGAATAAGGCGGACGGTCATCGAAAGTTGCATTGGTGTTTATCATCTCATCAAGCTGAATTGCATCGAAAGAGCCATGCTGAGGGGTGTGCGAAGCCGTCTCAAGATCGATGAAGGCGGGGAGCGAGAGTTACTGATACAGGTGTGATAGAAGTGGTCGCGAGGGAGGGGGATTGAAGGCGGCAGCTGGCTGGAAGTAGCGCGAAAAGTGCGAATCCATGGGGTTTATGCCCGTCACTGAGACAAAGCCTGTCGCGACGTGTAGCGTTGCCGAGTTGATTGTGTGCGAAAGCTACCAAAGAAATCCGTGCAGTGTAAACCGAGCTCTGAGGCGAAAAAAAACTGCCTGGTCGATTCTGTGCAGGCCAGCCTCGCTCTAACCGAAAGCGAGGCCATACCAGAGAAAGACGCAATCCGAAGAATCCCATTTTCGTTTCCCACCCTTACTAGTCGCATTGCACAAAAACTCCATTAGAAGACGGAAGGATCGAGAAAAGCCCGCCATGGTCGAAAGTACCAAGAGCGGAAGGAAGCGCGACAAATGGCGGTCCACATCGCGATAATTAGCGGGATCCTGTGCGCATTAGCCCGTGCCTTGTGAAGAGGTCGTCAGTAGTAATCCGAACCTCCACCGTAGGGCTCCCGTGCCTCGGAGCGACCACCGGCAGAGTCGCCATAGGCGGCAGCGGCAGCAGGAGCATCACGGGTGCGCGGAGCGTCACGCTCAGCTCCGCGGTCGTAACCCCTTTCGCGGTCATAGCCAGGGCCACGGCGGTCATCGCGATAGCGGTCACCGCCCTCGCGGCCTCCACCCTCGCGACCCCCACCGTCGCGGCCGCCCCCACTGCCGTAGCGGTCGACGCGACCACCGCCGCTGTAGCCATCATCACGCTCGCGACGGTCGTAGCTACCGCCACGGTCGTCACGGTAAGTGCGATCGTAGCCGCGGTCCTCGCGGTATCCTCCGCGATCCTCGTAGCGACGCTCATAGCCGCCACCGCCGCCGCCGCGGTAGCGGTAGGGGTCGTCGCGTCCATAGTAGCCGCCGCCGCCACCGCCGTAACCACCGCGGCGACGATCGTCGTAGCGGTCGTTCATGCGGCCACCACGGCCACCACCTCCGCCCTCTGGGGATTGATATGTCAACGTCACGGGTCGTTGTAGGATTGATGGGAATATGCTAGGACTTACCACGCTTGGGAGGACCGAAGTACTTGCCGGGGGTCGGGGTACGGGGACGGGCACGGCGAGCCTTCTCGATGCTGAGAGTACGGCCGTCAATCTGCTCTCCCTGGAGACCCTCCTTGGCAGCATCAGCTTGGTCGGAGGTGACCATCTTGACGAAGCCGAAGCCGCGGGACTCCTTGGTGTGGGGGTCACGCATGATCTGACACTTCTCAACCTCGCCATACTTCTCGAAGAGGCGCGTGACTTCCGACTCGGACAGGCGAGGGTGGATGCCAGTGACAAAAAGGTTGGAGCCAGGGTTGATGGCGCCATCGTCATCACCGCCCTTGGAAGCAGTATCGTTGTCCTTCATAGTGCTAGACGGAGAAAAGATGTAGCGTAAGCAATGGTCCAGTAGGCGTCATTTTTGGAGAGGGAGGAAAAGACAAAGAGAGACGTGACGTACCGATCACCATTACCGGATGGCGAAGCAGAGCGACGACGACCGCCATCGGCTTCGTCGCGCAGGGGACGGGGAGAGGCGCTGCGGTTATCGCGCTCGTAGCGAGGAGTCTCTTCTGAGGATCCAGTCATGTGAGCGAATGGAAATATGGGCAAAGACGTAGAATGGAGCGAAGACGATGGAATTCCCATCACTCATGACAGGAGGGATGATGAAGAAACTAACCATCGTAACGGTCGCCATTGGCGGTCTCGTAATCCATGCTGGTAGTGGCCATATCGTCTGATATGATAGAGACGAGAGTTTGATGTAGTGGCACGAGAGAAGATGGACGTGGATAGGTAAGGGATGGATGGAAGAATGCGAGGCTGTCGGGGGTATGGGTGGAAGCGAGGCAGCAGCGGAAGGCTCTGTCCGTTCGCGTTGGTGAAGGGTTGGAAGGGAAAAAAAAACAAACCCCAGGGGTAAGGAAGGAAAGAAGAAGCCTCAAAGGCTAAAAGCAGGTATATGAGGGAATCAATGCAGGAGCCGTGTCAGTGATTGATGCGGCAGCCGGCGAACGGAAGGCGATAGTGAGGCGTGGTGTAGTGAGGCTGGATGGCGACAAGTGCAAGGTGATGGACGTTTGTTGCAAAAGAGTGGATTGCGAGGTGGTCAACGAGGGAGGAAGGTCCAGGTCACGCACGGCACTGGGGCTTTGCAGCGTTGCCAGGCGCAAGGGGCTACGTGGGGCACGATCAAGACCTGAACCAGCTGGCAGGGCCCATCAGACAGCTATGGCAGCTGCCGGCACGTGACTGTGCTGAATTTGGGCACCAATTCTCACTCCTGCGCGTCACCAATGCTGTGCACCGTGGTCAGGTCGGTACTCCTACCCGGTAAGGTAGGAAGGTTCCTGAAGGTACCTTGCCTAAGGTACCGCCTTACCCAGGGCAACCGACGCTGCCGGGAGTACCTACCGAAGATGCCGACTACATACCTTACCTTAGGTACCTAGGTAGTCAAGCTTCCATGTGAATCGGACCAAAATAATTATGCTCGGAGTACAAACCGCTCCTATTACCTGACTGCATGTTGCTATCGTGAGTCTTCTCCTAGGTTGAATTGGGTGGCCTGACACTCACATTCCTGGCTGCGCCGACATTGTTGATAGGTCTCAGCCCCCCTGTTTGAACTTTTGATTCCCGAGGGTCGCATGGATACAATGAGGAAAGTCCGTCAATATGAAGGGCGGACTTCGGCATTGAGGCTTTCACGATCTGATGAAGCAAAAACGTGCTAGTAGAGTGAGTACAGGATGAACAGATCATGGTCGGCTATTGATCGGAACTTTCGCGTCCCTTCAAGACGTGGGTACAGGACATTGAGGTGCCTTGAGCTGGTCCCTTAATTCCCGTACGTAGGCGATACGCACCAGTGGCGGAAAACCCCCAGGTTTACGACGTTGATGTCGTCGAAGGAATCCTAAATTACGGGATTGGTGGATCGGGAGAAGTACTTCAGCAAACTCCCTAAAGTCCGACCCGTCGGATGCGGGAATCGCGAGTCGTATCTCGCTCGACCTGTTAGAAAGGCGGGGTACGGGTGTGCAAAGTCCTTGCGCCTATGGGGCCTTCTCGCAATTAACGGGATCGGGTAAACGTGTAGGATAGAAAGCGTCCGCGTGCAGCGTAGAAATGCCGCCAACCGAAAACTCGATAGAGGAGGGGGTGATCATAAACCCAGGCCCACGCGTGGGGGGCGTGCTATGCAAGAACAGTAAGGCTCGGAGACTCATCCCGAATTCCACCACGAACCTGTGCTGACCCATGGTAACAAGTTCATACCATGTCGGTTCAGATGTGGGTTAACCCTTTCGGACGCCCGGTCAGCTAGTTGGCGAGAGGCTGGACTGCCGTCGGTTTGTGACGGATCGGCGGTTCTTTAAAGAGTCCATCCCCAACCGTCTGGCGGCCTTTTTAAGAACCTAGGATCTGAAACCTTCGATCTCACGATACATTCTCGCCCCGCTAATTCTCTCTGTCCTGCTGCTCTCGAAACCCTGAGCAAATTCAATTGAGCGACAAGCAACCGAAACGCGTTTAGTACGCAGCCATCGCAAACCTTAGAACCACAATGTCGTCACTTGACGGCAAGGTTTATGCGTTCACTGGTGGCGCCAGTGGGATCGCCTTTGCAACCGCCAAAATCCTCGCGAGGCGCGGAGCCACGATCTGCATCGCCGATATCGACCCGGAAGCAATGAAGGAGGCAGAGAACTACTTCCAAGAACACAAAATTCGCTTCTCTATCAACACAGTGAATGTTGCTGTCCGGAGCCAGGTAGATGATTGGATTGACGGTATCGTGAAGCAGTTTGGACGTCTGGACGGTGCGGCAAACGTTGCGGGCGTCATCGGCAAACACCACGGCACACGCCCGGTCGCGGAACTAGATGACGACGAGTGGAACAAGATTATCGCTGTCAATTTGACAGGATGTATGTACTGTATGCGGGCCGAGCTTCGAAATATTGTCGATGGCGGTTCCATTGTCAACGTATCTTCGATCCATGGCCTCAAAGGTATGTCACGGTGCCTTCCTCCCCACAGTACCTTGGCCACAGCCAACTGATTGCGTCTCAGGATTCGCGAATCACGGAGCGTACGATGCCAGTAAGCACGGCATGATTGGCTTGACGAAAGCCGCGGCCAAGGAGAACGGCGCGCGCGAAGTGAGGGTGAATGCGGTGGCGCCGGGCGCCATATTCACACCATTGATGGAGAAGAACTGGAAGGCCGCTGGACGGCCGCTGGACGCACCGTTTGACGAGCCGACGGCGTTTCAACGGCAAGGAACCTCCGAAGAGTGTGGTAATGTCCTAGCCTTCCTGCTCGGCCCCGAAAGCACGTTTGTGAGCGGGTCCGTGTATGAGGTGGACGGAGCATGGCTGTGATGGCCGCCTGCAGCAGACAGGCATATCGTCGTGGATCAACATAAGCGGAATAGCGATGCATGTAAAGGCGTAGGGAACGCTGGCCAAGACGTCTTGGCTCTTGACAGGGAGATGCTCCGTAGGCAGCTAGCGTGTTGTTATTCTTTCACCACACATCACCCGGGTCGACCTCGTGCCTCTCGCCGTCGTCCCGGATATGTTGTAGCTTGGTATCCCGCTTACATGGCTTCCGCATGTCGAAGGCATCTTCACTGGAAGCCTTGGGATCGGTGGCATGGTCGCCGTAGTAGTCTTTCACCACGCGGAAAACGCTATACCCCATGCCCTTGTAGAAGTTGATGGCTCGGTGGTTGCTGGTCCGAACGAAGAGGTCAACAAACCAAGCATCGTTTGCGTCAGCTGCGACCTCCAGCTGCTCCGTCAGGATTTTGCCGATGCCTAGCCTGCGAGCCTCCGGTGCGACGGTCAGGGCCGTGATGTGTGCGTGCCAGGGCAGGTAATGCTCGGAGAACTTGTAGATATCGGGAGACGATTCAACCTTGCCCATGACTGGCGATTGAGAGAGTCAGTGGGCGCCAAAAACGCTTGAGAGGAAACGGTTACATACTGTAGCCAATAATGTTCCCATTCATATCCTCGCAGACCTGGAACAGGGCTGGCCATTTGGCATGATATTGAAGGTAGAACGCAAGCTCGTAGGTTTCCGTCAGGGGGTCGAGGTTGCATTTTGAAAACTTGTCGACATCGTCAGGGACGAAGCGCCGGAAGGTGGCCATGGTGCGCTCGTTGCCAATCAAAAGTGGTAGCTAGAACCAGCGGGAGGAGTTCACGACGGTTGATCGCCGACTGACCGATTGGCCTCGAAAGAACTTCGATATTCTTGTGGCAGCGTCCGTTGCTGGGCGGTTGGAGGGGTTAATTCTACCGATAGAACGATATGGGCAACGTCGTATCGCGATCGCGGGGTCCCGTCTTGGTCTGTCATCTTTGCTCAAAGGGACGGAACCTTCGTTAGGTAATCGTGGAGGGCCTGGCAAGCCTGGCAAGCCTGGGAATGCAGGGGGCTCTTTTTAGGGGGGGGGCGGCGTCCGGCAAGGATGTACGGGACGCACCACCAAAGCAGGCAGCCTGCACTCCTGCCAGTGGCCTTGACCTCCCTTTCATACCTACCTACCTCGGTGCGTTCATCATCAAGGGTGTTTTGCCCCCCTCCAGGAAGTGATCTTTGTTCCAGATCTTATTCCAGTTCTCGTCCCATCTTCAAAGACGGCTGGGGTCGAAGGACTCCCCTTCTTGAGCCCGCGATTTCCAGTGTTTTGCTTTGTTTTGTCATTGGAGGGGGCCAATCACAACTAGACACGAACTGGGGGCAGCCCGTGGCATGCCTATAGCAGGTCCCCTTGGTCCCCTACCACGTCAATCTCGTCTCATAGCTTTCATCTGATATTGTCCTACGACGTTGAGGCAGGGCGGACCACCAACTGCCCTGATAGTCCCCATCGTCTCCAGACGCGGCCTGCCTCGTTCCCTCTCCAACTGCATCGTCGCGAGAAGAGTCATATTGCACACGAAGCGACGAACAACCATCGCTGCCAGTTCACCGCCCGCGGCTGTCCCATCCGCCCGGCTCCTTCGCCTGGTCTTTAGCACCCCCCTCCTCGCACCCAGGTCCTGACCGCCGACAAGACGCCTGAATATCTGAATATCGTCCACGCGTTTACTTGCATCGAGAATGCCTTCCTCCCCACGTACCCCGAGGCATTCCCGCCACCCCTCCAGTATCGACGCGTCCTACCAGTATAACAGCACCACGTCCTCGCCACGAGACCGACGACGCTCCAGATCCTCGTTGCATGATCCCGCAACGCCCATTGGGACCAGCTTCAATAACCACGATGGTCTCGACATCGGCATTTTCAGCAGCGGGGGCATGGGTATGGTGGCGGGCAACGGCATGGGCAACTTGGCCGACGAGCTGGCTGATGCGTTCTCGGACTCTGGTGAGGAGGGCGAGTATTACGAAGAGGATACACTGGACCCCGAACAGCGAACGATTGAAGGAAGAGAGGGCATCGATGGTATACGGGACAGCGGCGTTGACGTTGCGGAAGAGGTCACTAGTGGCGTCACGAAGCCCACCAACCTGAACGTGCCTTCACCAGTGCGTAAGGGCCATGCGAGGTCAGGAAGCGGATATGATGGGAGCGAATACGGCTCGGAATCGGATCTGGACTCACCAGGCATCCCTCCAAGTTTGATCGCGAGAATCGATGCTGTTGAGGCGCTGGCACGAAGGGGCACGGAGAACAACGGCAGCCCAGCAGACGGCGTCTTCGCGCGTGTAACAGAGAGCCTCAAGGACCTGGGGTCCCAAACAGGCGTGGAAGGAAGCGCGACAAGGTGAGTCTTCTTGGTGTAAGCTTGCCGTCACGAGTTGCAACTGCTGACGTGGTCGACGCAGGCTCATTACTGCGCACGCCGCTCTCACGACACACTTGTCACATCAGACTCGCCAGATGCACAACCTGACTTTCCCGCTGCTCTCGCCTCTTGTTCCGCCGCCAGATCCAGAAGTTGTAGAGGAGCTGCTGCCGCTTCTTCTCGAGTTGTCCGAATCCATGCCTCGCCCCATCGCCAAGGCGCACGACTCCCTGACAGCTCTGCACACCCTCACTTCAGACCTCATCTCAAGCTTGAACTACCTTTCCGACACGTTGCACATGTCGCGCCAGACGACCCTCACAGCGACCCGGCGCCTCAAGAGCGCCAAGGAGCTTGTGGCCGAGATGAAACGAGAAGAGGAGCTGCGCGACGAAGGCGAGCGATGGCTTACGCGCGGCAACTGGGGCGAGAGGCTCGAGAACCGCGAATGCGCCGGCGTCTGCGGAGACGTAGTTGGCGGCTTTGAGGAGGTCTGCAACGGATGGCGAGCTAGGCTGCTCGAGCAGGCAGGGTCCGCCCCCGCCTGATCAATCGGGTAGGCCTGCTGAATTTTCCTGCTTGTGCCCCTTTTTTTGCGTTGAGCGAGAGCAGCTATATATCCACTGCTCTCAGGAGCTGCAGCTCAGCATGGCCGTGCGACAATGAACTCAGAGCCTCCTGTGTGCTTGGCGAGGTAGACAAGGAGGGGGCCGACTTCTGGATAGAGAGGACGTCTCCCGGCAGACGCAAGTCGCTATGAGACACACCGTAACGAGACCAAGATGATAGACCACGTACATGGGCCTGCGAGTTACACTTGATATGATTCATGTTCTTCAACCTTATCAATGAACCTTAAGTGTCTTACGTGTCAACCGGTGCGCATCCTTGCCTTTTCCTTCCTTTTTCCCGCCTTCTGCTATGGAAACCTTCAGCGTGACATTTCATGGGATACGTAGGGATTCACCGCAAGTCGGTAATCACCGCAGGTGGGACACAAACCACGAAGACAAAAATCAGATTATATATGCTACTTTTATTTAGAGGAAGTGCATGGAACGCGTGGGTATCGGTACATCTGACATCAAAACAAATGCTCACTCTCTCCGGTAGTGACTGGGGACTTGCCTCGCAGGCGCCGTTCACTCTTCGCCTAGGCGGAGGGTGTACGGCGTCTCCGGGCGATCTGTGCGGCTGGTTTCCCATGTCCCCCGGCTGCCTGGCCGAGCGTCGCCAACAGTGCTGGCTTCGGGATCCCTGTTCATGACCGCGAAGCTGCGTAGGCTCATATTGTCCTCGTTGTGTGTCGTCGGCGGCTGCGACGTTCCGTGACGCTGCACTTTGACTGCAGGCGCCTGCATGTGCCGCGGGAGGGGGTCTACCTCGTCGTCGACGAGGACGACCATCCAGACGCCGACAGCGCCGTTGCTGCCCACCAGCGGCGTGCAGTGGATCCAGCGCGGCCGGCCCTCAACACCCGGCTTTGACGACCACCGTATCTTGGCTGTGACGCCATGCCCGTCCGCGAACGCCTGAGTGAGTCCTTCGCGGACACGATCGGACCCCCCTATCTTGCTCATGAAGGGCGATTGCAGGATTCCGGGTACCCGGAGCGATGGCGAAGCAAACAGGATGCGCAGGCTGGGATATGGTCGGACAAGAAGATAATGCGAGTAGATCCCCGTAAGTTTGCCGCTGGATGCTGTTGGTGATGATGGCTGGCTCTGCGCCGCCAGTGACTCCTCTCTCAGCAAGATGCGAGGCTTGTTCCAGTTCGTCGGCCCGCCATTGGACTGATCCGCCTCCCCCTGCTTGACGCGGTACATATCCCCGCCACACCGTCGAACAGTCTCCAGCTCGGTCGAGTTGAACATCTCACAGAGATCTTTGAATTCATCCTTCGACTCCTCTTCGGGATTGTGATCAGCATCACCGCCGGGTTCCTTGGCTTCGTACTCTGCCATGAGTTTCTTCATGGCATCAAGCCCAGAACTCTCTTTGACAAGTCCAGAAACGTCGACTTGGGCCCCATGAAGTATCTAATTGTGCCTCGGCTGTCGTACAGAGGGGCCATCATGAGAAGATTCATGAAAGGCGACCCATCACGGCGGTAGTTGAGAAAGGTCTCGTAGCATTCCTTGCCGGCCAGCAATTTATCCCGTATTCTCTGAACACTGAATGGGTTGGTCTTCGGCCCCTGAAGGAAACGACAGTTGCGTCCAATAACATAGTTCATGCCATACTGGGTCGTTCGGTAGAATTCTGGAGTCACATGGTCAGCATCCACCCGTCATCGTCTCACTCACTTCACAAACACACCTTCAGAAGCAAAGACGATGGGGTTATCCCGTCGAGAAGGGTCAGTCAGACAGAAGACCTCAGCGAGCCCCTCCGACATCTCCCGCAGCTGAACAGGTAAAGTGCCTGTGATCCGTCGCTTAATCGACACACTGACTGTTTGCGTCCACAGATGCGTGATGTACGCAGGCAGGTCTTCGCGGGTCAGTGCCTCAAAGGCAGCCTCAGCCTTCTTCTCCAGAGCCGTGTTGGTAGTCTTGCCGGGCCCTTCGCTAGTGAAGTCGTGGCCATCTGTGGCGTCCAGTGCCCGGGAAATGGCATTAGCGTACGCAATGGCTCGCAATGCCTTCATCGAGTCGAGGTAGTACGTCAAGAGCGGCAGGGATTCGCGGCGCGCTTCAGCCAGGAAGTCTGTGAACTTTTGAAGAAGCACGTAGTCGGAAAATATGCCCTTAAGGTGCTCCTTTGAGAACAAGACTTCTGAGCGAGTTTCAAGCGAGTGCTGCCGACTGACTCCCTGGTCTGGTGCCACGAGGTCGAAGGAGCCAGGTTCAAGCTCTTCGTCTGGGATGGGCTCCAGAAGATCATCATCGCTTAGACCTTTGGTCTGCAAGGGGACCAGAGACGTGGCGTTGGTCTCGTACGATGAGCGCGTAGAGTTGGCTCGCGACCTGGTGGAACGTGTTGGGGCACTCTTTGGTGGCGGACTCAACGACTGCGCACCCCTCGGCGCAGAGTAGTCGGGATCTGGTGAGATCACTCTTCCCCGCAGCGGCACCTCTGTGTGCTGGAAGTGTTGGCTTCGAGTAAATATCGTCAGCATCGTCGGCGTAGAGCATGGCCATTTCTCATCATACCTCGGCTTCCTCCTGGAGTGCAACACTCTTGGGCTTACAGGCCCTTGGGGGACCCAATTAGAGCCGTCATCCTCCCACGGTGTAGGGCTAGTGCCGGCAGCAACAGGCCCTTGTCGCCGGAGAGGGATATCAGGGATATCGGCGCCAATATCCTCCATGCTGAGGCTGTGCTGGCGCATAGGATCATGACTGACTGCGGCATGACGGCTATCCGGTTTAGAGACAGCGTCGCCGCGGCGGTGCCGGTGTAGGATGTTTTCTCCCAAGTGGAGGTGCGGCATGACGAAGTGATGAGTTAAACAGCCGAAGGATAGAAGAAGTTCGTAGGCACAAAGTGGTCGAGCACAGACTTCTTCAGTAGCGTATAACAGGTAGCGTTCTGTTCCACTACTGCATGGTTGTTCATGGAACATGTCAGTCTCACAAGGCAGAGGCGAGGCAGGTGTCTTAGTATATGTAGATAGCAGCGGTAGACAGGCAGACCACGGACAGACAGGGGATCAGGATTTCCAAAAAAGAAACAAGCTGCGGACGCAGGAGGCTGACTCGGCTCGTGTGCTCACCAACAGGCATGTCTAGCACTCCTGCAGCCTCTCGTTTGCTCGTTGGGTGGTTTGGATGGAGTCTGGCTGCGAACCCGACTACATCCTCGATCGTGGTGGACTTGCCGATCTCATCAACGAGCCTAGCGGAGCGATCAGACCCTGGCGGGGGGAACAAACCAATATCGGTTCGCACCTCAGGTCCCTACAAGTATTCAGAACCAGCTGCCAGATACGACGATCGACGGGGGGCCGTAGAGACGGCTTTAGTCTCTAAGCTAAAATGGGTTGGCTTGAGCCAACGACGTCAGTCTGGTACAGTAGCCGCCACGGCATGAACCGAACTGCTGCAACTGCCGCTCGAAGTGAGTTCGCATTGTGGTATCGTCGGGTGGTAGTCGTAGCCATGGCTAGCAAGCTGAGTTTGCATCGAGGGTTTGCATCGAGGGCGACAGAAAGGCAGATCGATGCGAGCATGTCACATCCATGACGAGGGGAGACCTGCACCATGCAGGTTGACCAGGATGATGCCTGACATATTGAGCAAGCCGCAAGCCATGATACAAAAGCAGACAGTAGACGCCGGGGCCTTCTATGGCAATTTGACAAGATGGGAAGAGGCGTGGGTGACAGCGGTAATGACAGATGGCGAATGTCCCGATGGGGAGGTCAAACAGCAGGCGGTTGAGGTGCTGATGCTGGTGGAGACGCTGCCGAGACCCTGGAAAATGGGCCCAAAGGCCCAGATTGGGGTCATGATGCCCCGACGCCCGGGCTTCTGCGCTGCCGCGGGCTGTTGGGTGGAGACCTGGAGGAGGCTCATGCTCAGGAACCGAGCTGAACGGCGCAGGCACCGATCACCAGAAACCTGCTGGGAAGTTGTTCATCGGGCGATCGAGCCAACTCCACATCTCCATCTGCTGCACCTTTGTAGGGGGGTTTTCGCCGACATGATGTGTACATGTGGATGCCACCTTGGGAGGGCGGATGCTCAGAGGAAAAGGCACCCCTGCGAGCAATCTTCCTTCTCGGATTGTCAAGCTGCCGTGCGCGAAGTCACGATAGTTTGACAGCTAGTGATGAGATCCGCAACGCTGTTGTGGGTTCATCAGGCCAACGGCTGCCCTGAGCATCTGTCGTCGCTACCTCGAGGAGGTTTAGCAAGCCGTCTGTCAGAAATCGCCATCGACATCGAAATCGCCCATCATCTTGTCTCGAGCCGATCGCAACCAGGGTCCATGACTAGTAAGTAGGCTGACGTTGGGCTGGGATTCTGCGGACCACCTAGCCTTAGGTACTATGCCAGATGGAAACAATGAGGAGTACCGGGCAGTGGATGCACGTTGAAGCAGTGCCGAGGGAAGGATCCTTTGGGGTCTGGAGAGAGACCTCGCCGCAGTCCTAACGAGCATGCCCGAGCATTTTCCTGCCTGTGCCTTTCCTGACCACACATTGGAAGGGTTGGCCAATTGTTTGTTACATTTAGTATAACGTGCCAGAGGGAGGTGGTGATTCGTAAGCTTGCATCTCGAAGCTTTGAGCAGCTTGGGAATATGCAACACTGTGGGCTCGGCGTACGTGGTTGTCGCATGCACCTCCCCCACTATGGGCTTGATAGGTACGGTAAGACCCAGTGTTGTAAAAGGAAAGTATCATACTTATACTTTGTGGCATATTCCTGGCTTCATAGAGCGCTTCCTTCGGCATACTTACGCTAAGGAAGACAAAGCTACTTACAAGTCCAAAGCTCGAGGCAATGGATGGCGGGGGACGACATTCGAAGCCGATTGCGGCGGGACACAACGCACGGCGCACGGCGCACGGTGACGACGCGGTTGACTTGTCGTCTTTGACTTTCTTTTGTGTCTCGTGTTGGTGCCGTGTTGGTGTTGACGGCTGACAGGAGGCACCTAGGGTACGGTAAGGTACGTAGCGCACAAAGGGACAGGAACGCTCGACTCAACAAACCACGTTGCGTGTTTGGACCAGCCCGACGTGACCTCGACGTGCCTACTGGCTGGAGCCGAAAAGGGGGCTCGGGGCGAGGGAGGCTTTGTCGTCCAATCAACGCGGCCACTCCTTTTCCTTGCCTGCGTTCTACTCAATCAAGACCCTTGTTACCAGAGCCAGCGACCACTTTACGTGCTCCTGACCGCAACCGCGACCGCGATCGCGACCGCACCGACACAACACGCGGCCATACCGCGCGTCACACCTGTATCCTGTTTGCCAGCCGCGAGACTCGAACAAGCAAGGTGATGACAGATGTTGCGACTGAATTGACATGGCTTTGCACTTCGGCCCGGCTTGACTAACGAGCTTGACTGCACGGTTGGGTTGAACACGCTGGAAACGTCGGCCCTCTTCGATTGCCCATGACCGTTGTAACGACCTCTGTAACGGCCTCCCAGTATGGCTGGCTGACGAGTGCGTCACCACCAGACTGACTGTCTTTGTGAACAGTTCAAGACGTCGTCACCAGGCCACGGTGGGACGAGACCCGACCTCGGTCGACTTGGCTCGCATGGTTGCAGTGGTTTTCAGGCCATGAAGCTAATTCTACGAAGAGGGTTGCATTGGTTCTCATATCACAACAGAACAATGTGTAGTCTGCCAAAGCAGCGTGTCTAGGAACACATGTAGACGAAAGATGACCGAGAATTGACGAAGCCCCTTGGTGCCAAATGACTGATCATGGGCTCCAAGAGAACAGTTCCGAACGAGGCCCGGCTCTGAGAGTAGATGGTCATATGTCCTTCCAATTCATAATTCGTAGCCCAGTCGGGTTGCGTTCAAGAAACATGATGGCCGAATAAATCCCAGGCAAGACACACAAGACACACAAGACACACAAGGCGCGCTGGGTGGCTCTGTTTGTTTTCCATCGCGAACTGATGGTGATGTACCGCGACTTCGACACCAAGAGGCGACCGTGAAGGGCGCCCATGCCCCCCTGCCGTCCCGTTGCTTCCGGCCCAATTGAGCTTAGCGCTTCTTCGGTTTGTTGTTCTCCAGGCTCAGGCTGGAGGTGCAGGCGACAGCTCCCACCTAAAGGTGATAACGATAACCGCGAACACACCCTGTAGCTTCTTGCTGGAGTGTTTTTGCCGCTCGCCGCCTCGCCGCCCAGTGCCCAGCGCCCAGCGCCGTTTCGTCAGGTGTTCGACGTCTCCCTCCCGCCCGCCTACTCGATGCCGCCGCACCACCTTCCCTACCTATAGTGATTGATCCTCAACCACCACACCTACCTCACCTCACCTCACGTCTACGCGCCGGGCGTCCATTCACCCATCGTGCGGCACCTTCAGACGACGTCGTAATTGCGATCACCTTCCCATTTACACCTCGTCGCAGAAAAGAAAAAAAAAAGCCGACATTCCAACCAGAAGCGTCCGCTCTCCCTTTCCTGCTGTAACTGTCAGTGCACGGGGCCATACATACGACTTGAAGGTGGAATTGGCTTTCGACCAGCCACCCCGTACCGAAACCCGCATCAACCCCACGACGACTCTGTCAGCAACTCCTGGGAGGACTATGCGATCGGGACAATTCGCGTAGCATATATTGTTTGCTTTCCTGGCGATTGTCCTCCATCCTCTCCGTGGTTGCGGACCATTCATTCAACGAGCCCAGAACGGCCGCTGCCTTGCCGCCCTCCTTCCTCGCATCGTCACTGCTCGGCCGGCCGACACGAACCCCCCAGCGATTTCGAGATAAGACGACGTAGCAACTCTAGCGTTCGAGAACAGCAGTCCTTCTTCCAGATGATGGACGACGCCGTGGAGCCCGTCGTCGCAGCATCGGCGCCAAGCCCGAGCTCGAACAATCTCCCCGCTGTCGGTACCAAGGGAGCTTCGGTTGAACCGACAAAGCGCTCCTCTACCCGTTTCGCTACCCCTCCCCCGCCCGTGTCCGCAGGCGATCGAGGCCGCCTCGAGGCTCGGCAGAACAGCGACCGCGCCAATGTCAAGGCGGGTGACTTGCGGCATGCGAGACGACCAAGCGACTTGTCTCGCTCTGCTGCCCTTGACACCAGTGCTGTCGATAGCGCCCTGCTCCGCGAGATGCATAGGTCGCAGCGCGAGAGCACGCCAGGTGCCAGTCCGTCGCGGAAGCGTCAAAGGATAAACGGAGACAGGTGGGTGCCATTCAACATGTCTTGCGGGAGCCGAACGCCCATGCTGATCAAGCTCAACTTCCTAGGTTTATCCCCTCACGATCTGGGCAAGACTTGCAAGCAAGTTTCAACCTTTTGCACGAGGATGGCTCGCCTGCGACGCCCTCGAAGCAGAAAAAGCGCACCCCTCACGGCGAGCTACACTTTCAGAAGAGTAAGAAGTCCTTCCTTGCATGCTGCCCACAAGCATGGCCCCAGACCCCTAGTCCAAGCCTATGTAGCTCACACTTTCTACCAGCCGAGGAAGCCAACCGAACCTTCTCAACGCTGCTTCGCGCCGAGCTCTTTGAGGGCTCTGTACCGCAAACAACACCGCCCGCCATGTCACCAGATCACTCTTCTTCAGCAAACCCACACGCTGGCATTGTGCGATCTCACACACCACCAAATAACAACTCTACGGCCTCACTTCCCTCAACAGCAACCCCATCCACTCCGCACAAGAACCTTTTCTCGTACATGTCGCCACGTAACCTAAGTGCGGGCGGCCATTTGACTCCCTCGAGAACGCCCCAGAGCAGGCACGGGCCAAACCTCGACACCCGTGCTGAGATTTACAGCCTTTCACCCGTTCGCTTCAACAGCCAACAGATGCTGCTGAGCCCTCGCAGGCAGCCTAGAGCTGTGAGCAAGGTGCCCTACAAGGTGCTCGATGCCCCTGAACTCGCCGACGATTTCTACCTGAACCTAGTCGACTGGGGAAGTGCCAACGTCCTTGGCGTTGGCTTGGGTTCCAGTGTCTACATGTGGAACGCCCAGACGAGCCGTGTCAACAAGCTCTGCACGCTTGAAGATGACACAGTGACGAGTGTTTCCTGGATTCAAAAAGGCACTCATATCGCTATCGGCACGGGCAAGGGGCTGGTGCAGATCTGGGACGCGGAGAAGACTAGGCGTCTGCGAACGATGACAGGACACACCGCGCGCGTCGGCTCCCTTGCTTGGAATTCTCACATCTTGAGCTCCGGCTCCAGGGACCGTTCAATCTACCACCGAGATGTACGGGCTCCCGACCAGTGGCTGCGGAAACTGGTGGGACACAAGCAAGAAGTGTGCGGACTAAAATGGAATTGCGAAGACGGACAGCTGGCCAGTGGCGGAAACGATAACAAGTTGATGGTCTGGGACAAGCTGTCCGAAACGCCGCTCTGGAAGTTCTCAGACCACACGGCTGCCGTTAAGGCACTCGCCTGGTCACCGCATCAGCGCGGTCTACTCGCCTCTGGAGGCGGCACGGCGGATCGCCGCATCATATTTCATGACACAGTTAAAGGCTCGGTCATCAACGAGGTGGATACGGGAAGCCAAGTGTGCAACCTGGCCTGGTCGAAGAACTCAAACGAGATTGTCTCCACACATGGATACAGTCAAAATCAGATTGTGGTCTGGAAGTACCCCTCCATGACGCAGGTCGCCAGTCTCACGGGACACACATACCGAGTACTCTACTTGGCCATGAGCCCCGACGGCCGCGTGGTAGTCACCGGAGCGGGAGACGAGACCCTACGTTTCTGGAACCTCTTTGGCAGAAGACCCAGCGCACGAGACGACGGCGAAGGCGGAGGGCGCCTCTCCGAGTGGGGCGTCATTCGGTAGTCGGCCGTTGCGTCGAGGCAGGTCTACAACATGAGTACGACGGCAAACACACCACTCGATTCGATGGTACACTAACGGAGGATCGCATTCTGTTCTTCTTTTTTTTTCACACATATTGCTCGGTCGCAGAACCGAGAGGATGGGACTTGGCACTGGGAACGAGCACTGCGACGGGTTGGTCGGAAATCATGATTCTGGGAGGCGGGGAAGAAAGCGAATATCCTGCTGTGACTGCATCACGGGCATAGAACGGCGTCTGCTTTTTTTCTATTCATTTTCTGTTTTTCGTTTTGGGTTCCTGCCGTTTGGCAGGTGTGACCACGATGGGCATGACTGGTTGGCGTGAGGGGAGAGGTAGCTGCTGGCTCGGTTGGATGGGTTCTGCGCTGACACAGAGCGGCGTCATGGTTGCGCCTTTTGGGGGCAGATGAATGAGTCAATGCAGATCTTGGGCTGGGCGGGGCTTTGCTATTTACATGAAAGGCATTTGAGGGCCGTCCTGCAGCTCGTGGGCAACTCGAATCAGAACAGTAGCTCAGGAGCTTCCACCCACACTGAGAAGGGCGTCTAATCAAGGGACAGACCAGATCGCTTTGCCACACATACCGTACAACAAGATGACAATGCTGTACCTAAAGTGAAATGACTAAATAGACTGCAAAAGCATAAATTAAGGTAGGCGCCTAAGTAAACTACCTAGGTATGTGGCTATAACAGAGGGAGCATTATAGAGTAACATTGTCACATACAAGTGGCAACGACAGCAATTAAAGCTTGGGTCCGGGTCTGTCCTCGGTCCTCTCGAGGATCCAGTCGCCAACATCGGTGTAAAACTCGTCCTTGCACAGGTCGGCATGCAGCTGGTGGTAGCAACCCTCGTACTCCTTGTACCGGCCGTCCTGGAGCCCCTGCGCGTCGAACCACTTGCGGCTGGCCTCCCAGCTCGTCGTCTTGTCGCCGGTGCCGTGGGCCAGGAACAGGCTCCTCACCTTGCTCCCCAGCCGGACGCGGCCCGAGGCCAGCGCGTCCGTCCGCTCGAGCAGGCCCGCGAGGCCCTCGAGGGTGCCCGTGTCGTGGCACAGCGGGTCCTCGCGGACGCTCTTGACGACCTCGGGGTCCCTGGAAAAGTACTCGGCCGGCAGGGCGTTGACGAGCTGCTGGCGCGGCAGGACGCGGCTGGCGAGCTTGCCGAGGAAGATCTTGATGGCGCTGGGGGCCTCGCCGGCGGGGAACGCGATGAAGGGGGCCTCGAGGACGAAGCCGCGGATGCTGCCGACGAGGTCCTCGTAGGCCGGGTCGGAGGCCAGCGTCGCGACCTGGCCGCCGCCCATCGAGTTGCCCATGACGAAGACGGGCACCGTCGACGGCTCGGCGGCTAGGACGCTGCGGGTAAAGGCGGCCATATCGGCGATGACCTGTGCTGTCGGTCCCGTGAGACCCTTGTCGGCTGGGACGCGAACGCTGCGGCCCCAACCGCGCTGGTCAAACCCGTGCACTTGGATGCCGCGGGCCGCGAGAGACGGGAAGAGGCCGTAGTACCGGTTCACGTGGTCGCTGAAGCCATGGATGAAGACGAGCTTGGCCTTGACGGGACCTTGGGGCTGAGTCCAGGTTAGCTTGGGCTTATGCATGAATGGTTGGGCGCTCTGGGTTCGGTTCGAGAGCTTCTGTGAGGAAAGCCTACCGTCCAGGTCTTGGTGTATAGCTCCTTGCCACCAATAGTGAAAGTGCCCTCAGTTTCAGTCGCCATGTTCATCCGTCAAACTCTCGAATGTATGATGAAGGATGTTGGCTTGTGATAAGGTGATGTGATGTGTGGAGCTCAATCCTGTGGAAAGATGTCATGGCAAAAACGAGGAGGGGTTGGGAGCTATTCGATTTCGAGCTGTTCATCGGAAATCCCGAGCGGCCTTCACATGCTTTTGCGCCTCGTGACCTTCGCTGGCCAGCCGCTCCGACATCAATGGCACATCTCATTTAGGTGTCACACCTTACTGAGCTACTTGCATGATGGCAAGTAAGCATTGATCATCCCCTGCCTACGAAGTCCTTCTTACGCCAATCTTGAATCGTCAGCCTTTCTGCGAGGGTGCTGCACCAGTAATTATAGATGTGCATTGGAGCTGTAATATGACGCTGCGCTCCCTAATGCATTTCGGAGCACATTGGATAGAACATTCACATGCCTTATGAGATACCCTCAGCAACATCGCCCTATGCAACAGTATTTATCTACCTGATGCGGACCCGAGTTTCTCCTATCTCCGTATCCGCGATTCCTCACCCGGCACTCATCATAGGCGAAACGCAGATGGCCTGCTGGAACTTGACATGCCAAATATCAAGGAGAGTTCTCTATCGTGTTTCTGTGTGCAGAAAAATTAAATTAATCGTACATGCCACCCTCGAACTCGCCCTCCATGCCCAAACAGGCCGCTCTCCAACGCCGAGCTGGCAAAACCTGTTGACTGGAGCGGAAGCCGAGTGTGAACCCCCTCCGTAAAGTGTCGGATGTACTTTTAACATCGCATTACGTCTTGTTCTTCTTCACCTCCTCAGCAGTTGCCTCGGCGTTCTCGGCCTCGCCATGCTCCAGATCATCTTCAATCTCGTCCTGCTCCGTGATACGAGCTTGCTCGCTCGGCCGGGCCGGCTCAAGAAGATCTCCTCCACTCATTTGCCACTCCATCAGCTTGCTGAATGCGCTGTTCGGGTCAGCCGACAAGTCTGTGTACTTGCCAATCTCAGCAACTCTACCCTCGTTTGATAGTACAATGATGAGATCTGATCGTTTGATGGTCGACAAGCGATGCGCGATGGAGATGGTGGTGTTCCTGCCACGCAAGAGTGATGCCAGCGCAGCGTTGACGAGCGTCTCGGACTCGGCGTCGAGTGCGGAGGTGGCCTCGTCTAGGATGAGGATATCCGGGTCCTTGATCAGGGCCCGGGCGATGGCAATGCGCTGCTTCTGTCCACCAGACAGCTGCGAGCCACGCGCTCCAACCTGCGTGTCCAAGCCGGAAGGAAGATCGCTGATAAAGTTGCAGTTCGCTTTGCGGGCTGCCACGACAATCTGGGCCCTGGTTGCTTCGGGTTTTCCATACGCAATGTTCTCGGCGATGGTGCCAGAGAAAAGAACAGGTTCCTGAGCCACCATGCCTATGCGCCGCCGCAGCGATTTGATGTTCATCTGAGAAATGTCGACGCCGTTGATTGTGATGGAGCCTGCAGTGGGATTGTAGAAGCGCAGAAGCAGGCTGGCGACAGTGGACTTGCCACCACCAGAGGGACCAACAACGCAAACATTTGAGCCCGAAGGAATCTCAAAATTCAGACCGTTGAAGACATTGACGGCGGGTCTGGTGGGGTAGGCGAAAGAGAGGTTGTTGAACTTGATGACGCCTTGTGCCGACTCAACCTTGCTGCCCACCGTCTGAGAAATGGATGGGTGTCTGTCCTGCAATTCAAAGAGACGGCTTGCGGCTCCCACACCCTTCATCAGCTCAGAGTAGAAGGATGACAGACCGAAGAGACTGGAACCAGCAAATGCAGTGTACATCATGAATGAAGTCAGATCTCCAACCGACATTGCTCCTGTTCGGACGTAGTTGCCACCAACAATAAGCATGGCTAGGATTGTCATATTCCCGGCCCAGCCAGTCGTGGCAAAGAATGTCGCTGCAATCGTCGATTCCTTGCGACCGAGAGCGAATATACGACGCACCTGCTTGTTGTAGCGGTTAATCTCCTGAACTTCACCAACGAAAGCCTGACTGGTCTTGACGTTGCCTAATCGCTCTTCAGCAATCTTGGTAAGTGTGCCAAGATTCTTCTGAATACCCTTGCTGACGTTTCTGATGGCGCGACCATAGAAGAAGGCGCCAACGGCAACAGGAGGCAGCATGACGAGGAGGAGACCTGTGAGACCAGGGCTGAGCCAGATCATGGCAATGAAACCTGCTCCGCCACTGAACAAGGACCGCAGACCATCGCTGATATTCTGGGTAATGGACTTGCCGACCACGACGGTATCAGAGCTGAGCCGGGAGATCAGATCTCCCACGCGGTTGGCGTCGAAGAATTCAGCGTCCTGAACGTAGGTTCTTCTGTACAGCTGCGACCTCAGGCGGGCAACAACCCTCTCGCCAATGATGCGAAGAAGAATGATGCGGCCAAAGTTGGCCATGGCGCCAATCGTTAATATAGTGCCGAGACCAATGAAAAAATGCGGCAGGGTCAGACCGAAGAGGCGAGCGTCCTCAGCGGGATCCTTTGTGACGATGTCCAGGATGCGGCCCACGGAAAATGGTATGGACATGGTCACACTGGAAGAAACGACCAGGAAGACAATGGCCACAGCTAGCCATTTGAGCTCGGGGCGCGCAATCTTGATCAACCGCCAGACTTCATCGAAACCTGCCTTGCCAGAACCTTTTCCTTCTTTCGATAATTTGGCACTCAGGTTGACCTGGGCAGCCTGAGCAGCCCTCTCGCTCTTCTGAAAATCATGTTCTGGGTCATGCTCAGGTTCTGCCACCTGCTTCTGGGCTGCATCTTGATGTTGGCCATCTTTCTGGAGCTCCCTGTATACCGACCGACTGTGAGAAAATGGGCGCGACAGGCTGCCCAGCCCGACGAAGCCGGCTTGTCTCGGTGCGAAATATGGTCGGCGTAATGTTATAGCATTGGGAAACGCGGCTCGGCGGCGTGCACTTGTTTGTTCGTTTGTGGTCGGGGTCGTTGCCGTTTGAACCTGTCGTATTTGCGATAGCAATGGGTGCCATCGACTTGCCAAGGGCGCGCGACTGATGAATATGTTGGGAGAGCCAAATATCGAGGCGCCGCAGAGTGAAGTGGCGGCGCGTTGGGGCAGCTGCACAGCTGACCGAGCAGCTCCCGAAACCATGATGAGGCCGTCTTAACGGGGTCTAGACGACGAGACGAGGAGCATGTTCCGTGTCACGGAGGTGCTGCGCATTGCGGGCCAGAACAGGTCGTATGGTCAGCGGCGCGAGTCGAGGGGTCAACGGACCTCTGACAGGATGGTGCTCGGCAGAGTTGGTCGATCAAAGGTTGGTTGATCAAACTCGAGGTTGAAATGAGGCACTTGAAGATTTCGTCATCGGTATTTGATCGAAAAACGCTTTGGGGGCTAGGCCAGGTCATGACCACCTGCCAGCCGCCCCCCCCCTAAACCCCTGCCATTTGCGGTAGGGATCCTTTGCGGCACTACATATGTTCGGGTAGGTACATTTGTTAGAGACCCAAGCCTGCTTACCTCCGAGCTGTGTCGGTCGGCAACATTCGGCCCACCAAAACTTATCTTCTCCGATACTTTGTCCATTCGCACTCACCCTGCTGAATCCCGAGAACTGTCTCGTCTCGTCACATGTAACTTGGAGCGCCTTCAGACAAGAACTCCTGCAGCATAGCATTTCGCCCCCCTGCATCTCGTTTCTCATCGTAGTCTTTGTTGCATTCTACAAAATTCCACTCTCTGCAGTGGCCCTACACTAAGTTACCTGATCATACTGAGGCTCCCACTAGTTCAACTGAGATGAGACGCGTTGCGCATCTAGCCTTGAGCCGACTAAAGAGCTATGCACTCACATGTGCATACCCCCTCTCAGCTTCTTCCGGCAGAGCAAAATCATAGGAAAATGAACCTTGCATATAGTACAAGCAACTCACCAAGTGACCACCAAGCTCTGCCTGCTTGGTGATCCTGGCTGCTCTCAAGCCCCATTACTATCTTTGCGGAGCATCTCTGCCACGTCCGCATCAATTCCGTCATCTGCCCCAAGGTCTGGAAACTCATCACTTTCCACCCGCCTCCTCTTATTGGAGCCATTCGTCGAAACCGGCAGAGACTGATACTGGCTGGCCAGATTCGACAGCATCTCCATGCCGGACGCGGGAGGCCCCGCATAGGGACCACTCAGACTAGGTCTTGGTGATTCTGTAGTAGTGGCCTGGCGAAGGGATATGTCCGACGTTCCAATGCTCTGACCGTCAGTGATGCCCAAGCCAGCCTCATGACGATCCGGCGGTGGCGGCGTAAGCTCCTCTACCTCCGGCCGTTCCGGCTCGGGGCCAGGGCTTTGCGTCGGGCCGTCACGTAAAACCCCCGAGCTTTCCTGGCTTGGCAACGTGCGCATGATGGCATTTTCGACCTCGCGTCTCTTCTCCTCTGTCTCTGTCTTCCTGCTCGTGAGGGTCGTCAGCTGCTGCTCCTCCTGAGCTAAGACCGTGCGATTGGTGCTGAGCAACTTCTCGAGCTCGCTGATCAGCGCTCTGCGGGCCTTGACCGAGTCGGCTACTGCGCCCTCTGCACTCGCTAGGCTTCGAAGCAATCCGTTCAGGCGCGCAGCATAGACCGGGGCTGAGGGTGTTGCTGCCGACGGATCATGAAGCTTGTCCCAGTCTTGATCTGCGGTGCCAAGACTCGTCTTCGTTGGCAGGCTGGTTTTCTCCAGGTTTTGTGAGTGCACCACAAGCCCTGCAAGGTCCGCTGGTACGCTCGAGGCGTGAGATCCGAAATTGCTCTTAGGAGCCGATTTAGATCGCTCCGCGTCTGCATTGTGTTAGTCTTTCAATGCGTTCAGCTTCCTGAAGAAAATAGACACTGACCTTGCATGCGCGCTTCGATCGCCGCCTGAATCCCGGGCTCGAAAATAGCCCTGTCTGCCCAAACTTCGACGACCCTCCTTAATTTGCCTTGAATCTCAGCCGGCGCTCCCTTGTAGGCCACCGCCAGAGCTTCGGCTATGATGGGTGCAAAAGCCAATACAAAATCTGGCCTATGTCGGGCCTTTGACTGCTGGGTTACCTCTGTTCCCGAATTCAGCTACATGGCCTTATAGAAACGGAGTACGGTCTCCATGAGACGAGGGGTCTTGCTCATACCGTTCGCGAGATAAACGAGGCTCAGCCTCTTGGTACTGGTGGAATCTTTGAGTCTCTGGAGCCAGATCTGGGCTGTGCGCTCCGCATGGCGCCTATTACCATTAGCTAGGTCAACTGAGTATTCCCCGACGGGTGATGTACCTATGAAACATGATCCACTGGGACGCCGTAGCTATGCTGTCGTGGCTCTCATTGAGCGATGACAGCCTCGCCAATACAGCATCATCACTGAATGCCATCCTTGAGGCTGTAAAGCTGGCGCTCGGAGCTTCACTAGCCAGGAACTGTGCGGCGGAGTCGCGGAGAAAATGAACTTCACCCTCGTAGTCGCAAGATTGAGAGCGCTCTCTCCAAAAAAGCCGATGAAAGCGGTAGCGAACGTCTGTCAACTGCCCTGGCAGGTGGTGTTGCGTGTTGCTGTTGGCCTGGTCGGATGAGTCGTGATCTTTATTGATAGCGGCGATGCTAGATGCTACCAGAGCAACGACGCGTCGCTTTATCGCCCGGCCCGAAAAATGCTGCAATAGGACCCTGTATGTCTCAATTGGAAGCAAGTTCGTGTTTGCGTGATGATTGAGTTCAATAGGAGGGCCAAATGAAACTGCAAGTATAACAGGGCGCTTGATTGTTGATGCGACTGAGGTTCAAGTGAACTAGGTCGAAGGTCGTTGCTCGAAGGAAAATGGGTGCATCTATCGGGGTTGTCGTTACATCGGGGCTGCAATGTGTCATTCAAGGCCATACGCCATGCACGTAAGCGATAGCTCCACGAACAGGCCAGCTGGATCCTACCCAGTGTGCTGTAGCCGTCGTTGCCTTGATGGATACCTACCTTATGCCTCTATCGCCCCTTCCGTCATATTCAATCTGACAACCACTGAACATCATCGCCATCTGGTCCCCTACGACCCAAGCTTCCACAACCAACCATCTACCCTTGCGATCCATCAAAACTCCTATCATCTGCAGTTCTACTGTCTGCGACTGCTTCCCCGACCGGATACACCCGTGTCCTCATCACGCAGACTCGCGACACAATGGCGGACAGGTTCCCTTCGCTGGAGGACTTCGATTCGGGTGGTGGGTGGATTAATGTTTTAGGTCTGGAATATGAAGCTAAGATGTTGTACAGCCCAAACCGATGTTAAGTCTCCCGGCGCCGGACCCTCGACCGATGACTTCCTCGCCCGTGAGAAGGCTCTCCTAGGCGACGACGCCGACCAGTTTGCTACCAACAACGATTCCGCTGCCTTCGAACAAGATGATGACCTGCTTGGGGGTGGGGACAGCGCTGGAGCCAACCAGCAGCAGTCTACCTTCGAGTCCCAGTTCCCCGACCTGGCGCAGCAAAATGAGGTATGCGCCATCGCCTGCTACGATTTTCCCAATCGACTTTAACTGACAATGCTTCTCTTAGGATGTTGGTCCTGCGGGCACAATCACCGGCAGTGGTCCATCCGTCAACTACAGCTCCGGCTTTCGCACAACTGTTGAGGATGAGGAAGAGCCTCAAGTGATCAAGGAGTGGAGGGAAGGCCGAGATGCTCAAATCCAGAAGCGCGCCGAACAATTTGCCGCTCAACGCGAGGAAACTGTGAAAGAGGCCCGCCAGAACATTGACGATTTTTACGAGAACTACAACTCGAAGAAGGAAAAATCGATCGCTCAGACACGCAAGGATGCCGAGCAGTTCCTCGCCAATCGCGAGGATACCGTATCTGGCGGCACCAGCTGGGAAAGGATTGCGAAGCTGGTTGACGTCAGCGGCAAGGGTGTTAAGGGCGGTGCCGCTGGTTCGGGCAAGGAACGCTTCCGAGAGCTACTGACCAGCTTGAAGAAGGACGAGAAGGCTCCAGGAGCCGTGGGCTACTGAAGGCAGACGGACCCATGAAGGCTCATGGCACACGCTCCATATAGCAGTGTTTGGCTTCCGTAGTGGAGTAGCCGATCTGTTGGACGCCATTTCTGTACGATAGCAAGTCATTTGAACATTGCGCACATGTCTTAACTTCGTGGGATGGAGTCGGCGGTCACATCCAGTCGATAATTGATCGCTTTATGCCGCCGCAAAAGACCATAATAGTCACGATGTGAACGAAAAAGTCTGGATTGAGACTTCTAGTCTTAATTGATTGCACAGCTCGGTCTATCCATTATACAAACAGCCCTGACAAACCGTAGGGGCACGATATAATGCTGTACCAGACCCTAGTTCTCGCCGAGCCAGGTGTTGTGACCGGCAACCTTGCGGACGCCCATGTAGACGGAACCTGTACCATAGTTAGCCGACTACGTCGCAGAAATCCTTCATTAACAAGCTGCATACCGGCAAAGCCACCCCAAAGAAGGGCAAGGTAGGGGACCATGAGGAACTTGGAGCGAGGGTTCTGCGACAATTGTGTTAGCAGAGTGCATAGGTTGAGGCAGTAGCCGGCGGGCGCATCTGAGCAAGAGGTTGACGTACGATCTTCCAGAGGCGCTGGTGGTTCTTGTAGGCGTTCTGGTAGAAGACCTGGTGCTCGGGCACCTTGTTCCTGGCGTTGACGAGACTGAGCCTTGTTAGCAAATGTTGTCGTACGATCCCACTGGCAGCCTCGGGCGGTTGCGTTCAATGGGGAATGCCGCCTGCGCGAATGTCAATTGATCGATGAAAGAACATACGCCATCTTATCGAAGAGATATCGTGGAGTTCGACTGTTGGGTATCGGTGGGCGATTCGTAGGATTGGTTGACTGAGGTCGAAGATTGCTCGCGGATTGAAGTTGGAAAGAGGTGATGTCGGATTGGTGGCTCGGCCCAATGTTGGATGACTAACACTACCTTACTTCACCCACCCCACCCCTAAGGCACCCAGATGCCCGAAAGGAGCTCTGACGGCTTGGTCAACGCGATCCGTTGCCGCAACTAGGATTTTTCGTGTCCATCTCAGACTGTCTTTTTTCCTCAACAATGCTCTTACGATCTTGTCCAGCGTCCCGATAGCGACTTGGAATATGCAATGCTGTTCGATTCTGATCTGATCCTACATCGTTTATTGCCTTTGCGAGGCCATGCCATTGGCCTCACAATCCCTGGGATACTTGAATAGAGCAAGCCTCTTTCGAAAGCAACTGGATCACCAGGTCATTAACCCTTCGCGACGGTGTCTCCTTGCTTTCGCACAGACGCGAAGACCCGAAGCTGCTGGGGAAGCAAAGCGCTTTGCTCTTGAGTCGTCTCACCTGTCGACCTGTGCTCGAGGCCATCGTTCCGATTCATCAGCTACCGCCCGCTACTTGACCGAGTATCCCCGTAACCGAAATGTTCGTGGCTCTCAGTCTTCAAATACTACCGACGAGGATCTTGACCTCTTGCCACATCTCGCCGTATTCGACAGAGAGGTAGACTCCGGCCGAGCGCTGCCGAAGATAGAATCGGACGACCTCTCGACATGGGCACTGCATTTTTCCAATGCGCAACGATCACAAGGAAAAGATGGAATTCTTCGCGTCTGGTCAGCCATGGCGCAATCGAAATCTTTGTCCAAAGTGAGAGGGCCCGAGGCGGAGTGGATATGGACAACGATACTGGAGGCTTCGCTCCCAAGCGACAGGCACCTGGAGCGTGTCAACAAGTATGCACAATGGATGGTTGAGACGCATGCTGCTCACTGGCCGCACCTTTATGAACGTGTTGTACTTTACTGCTTGCAACACCGACAATACCGAAGAGCATTTCTGTGGCATATGCGACTGGCAGCCGTCTTTGGCCCTGATCATGACAGCTTCTCAAAGCTCATACGATCACAGATTGGGGATCCCAGTCCAGCTGTCCAGAGCACCCTGCATTCGATATATATAACAGGCCCGCACCGCAACATGTACGACCTGATTATGCCTCATCTCTACGAACTCGGCCTTTCCACATTATGCAGCCAATGGCGGGAAACCCTCTTGCGCCACCGAGATGTGCCGAGGCCGATAACAGCGTCGCAGCCTTTCCTTCGCTTCTTCATGAACTATTACCCAAATAAGGCGCTATGTCTGGAGGAACAAGTTGTTGTTGGCCTAGTGCCATCGGTTTCTCACCAATCCAAGCATGAATCATCATTATGGGAGGCTCTCTCCGCCGACCATGAGCAAGGAAAGGGTGGAAAAGGCCTGCGCTTCAACGATGCCATCGGCGCTCGATGGTTCGCTAGCTCATGGGTACCTCTTGATTTCGCTGTGCACGCAGTTCACGGGCTAGGTGTCCGTGTTCTGGGTCCAATGTCACTGCAGTCAATTGCTCTCCGCGAGAAAACCGCCGCCTCGATTCTTTCGCGACTTAGACAGCTCCAAAATCTCAACCTCAGTATCGGGCACTCAACCTACGCTCTAGCAGTTCGGAGTTTTGCGGAGAGGGGAGACGACGATATGCTGTCCATGTTGCTGGAAAGCGACATTCACCCAGAAGTTTTCGACGACCTGGAAACTCAGCAGAGGATACGTTGTGCGGCCAGAAACGATGGTGACTGGCAAACATACAATCTCTTACTTGCTATCCAACCTGCTGTCGCCCGGGACTCCATTGAGACAACATCTAACCATCTTTTGCAAGAGCATCTCAAACAACAGCACAATCAGCGTGCCATTGCCTTGCTCGACGATATGCGCGCAATGGATGTCAGTGTCACTCATGCTACTATGCAGGTAGTTCACGAACATCTTGTGCGCGGGCTACCAAGGCACCGCAGCTCGTTACCTGGATCTGGCCGTCAGATATCCGAGATCCTCGCCATTGCCACAAGACTAGCAACGCGTCGAAAATTCTTGTCATCAGCATTTTGGGAGAAGGCTCTTTTCCGACTTGGTGAGACTGGCCGTCTAGACGATTTGGAGCGCTTGGCGTCCGGTATTGTGAGGCATTATCAGCTTCATGCCTCAGACACGAAAGGCTTGATCTCTATCCACAGATCAGATTCCCCGATGACCGCACCCGATGATGCTTCCCTTGATATTCCGGCAGACTTGCCGCTCGCGCATGACTGGCATCCGATTCGGAGGATATTCGTCAACCGTGTGCTTCAAGCAGCTATCATCCGGTGGGGCTTTCGAAACGGACTGAACAAACCACAAGGTTCTCTTCAATCACATAACACTGAAGTCACTGTTTCCAAATTCTGGATTGCTCGAGGTGTCCGGCTGCTCAGGGTCCTGCGAGATCAAGGTATCCCTATCGAGGCCGCCTTGGTTCGAGCGGAGGTCCTTCATTGCATTGCTCGTTATTGCATCCGCAGCCACAACGATGCTGGGACTGATGGTGCAGAGGAAACAGATTTGGCCACAATTCGAAAGCTTTTCAATCAAGCCTATGGTGGGCCGCTGCTGCCCGAACCTTTGGAGTTACGGGATTTGGTGAACCAAGCCGAACGACAACTACCCGACAACACCAAAACCTTCAAATCGATACCCGGCTGGGACAGGAAGAGACGGGCCAAACCCTTTATAATGTAACATTAGAGTTGAAGCAGAGCCTTACGGGCTTGCTAAGTATTATAATCAAGATCATACATCAAGGTTTATCATCTGATACCTTGCGTCAGCAGGTCGCTCCTGTCATACCTGTTCATCTCTGTGGTCTCCCTCACCACCCCTGTCGTTTCCCCTCTTCGGCTTGATCAACAATAAGATGAACATGCCCACGACGATGAGCAACAAGAGCAGTATAATCTTTCTCTTGGTCGTCTTCTTCTGATACCCAGCCGCGACAACAAGCTCCTTATCGGCCGCTTTGACATCTGTCGCCATATTCTCGACATTATAGTCGATGCGATCCAACATGGTGCCCTGGTCAATGACCATATTCTGTAGGTCGCGGAAAATATCCGCCAGCTCGATGATGCCTTGTGCAATGTCTTCAATTTCGCGTTCGCGCTGAGTGATGGCAGCATCATTATTCTGCAGCAGTCTCTGCTGTGTCACTTGCAATGTCGACTGTGAGAATGACCTATCTGCATCGGACTCGGTAATGTCGGGGTCTGCGTAGGAACTCGACCCTGGTTGGGGTGTGGACGACCTTTCACCCACCGGGGTGAAGCCTCCCAAACTACTCATACCGCGTAATTCTGGAGAAATGTTAGCACGTTGAAGCAAAGTATCTGAAGGTTTTGCTGAGGCTCACTCTTGAGATATGCGCTTTGCTTCTTCCTGAACAAGGCGCTAGCGTCTTGCACTCTTGACGCTAAAGAGATCTGAATGTTCTTCGCCATGGTTTCTTCTCCTTGACTGATGGTTCCAGCATGTTTTGCCTCCTTGACCATGCGTTCAATGCGCTGGATACAGCCGTGGCAGTCATGGAACCCTCTAGTGATCTTTTGCGTGAGATGCTCAATCTCGCGCTCCTCAGCCTTTTTCGCATCCTCATCGTCGAATCCTGGGAGCACATGCTTCTGATGCAGGCGCTCGAGTGTCTGGCTCCTTCGCGCAATATCTGCCAGCAAGTCTGTAATTTCGTCGGAGATGTCGGCCCAGCGCGGGGGCAGAAGATCCATCTCAATCACGGCGTCGCCATCGTCCTCGAAGGCACCTGCGGAGAGCAGGCCACGAGTATCCTCAGAGCCCGAGGCGGTGGCATAGTTGTCGCCGAAGGCATTGCCTCCGCCAGGCCCGCTACTGGTGTACTTTGTTCGTTTTGTTGGGTGATGCGCATAGGACTGCCGATAGGAGATGTATAGATTCGTGCGGTCCCGCCACATGGCGGACACGAGAACAAGGAAACAGCGAGTCTCTATGTATGAGCACTATCGTTGTATCTTGCGCTGCAGAGAGAGGGGTGATGTCGTGCTGGGCCTGGATCGTGTCAAGATTCGTGGTCTAGAGATTGGCGTGCCGAAGTCAAAGTTGCCAGTTGCGAGGAACGTCGATAATGGCAAAGATCTAGGGGATTCTATGGTCGCATGATTGAGAAAAAGTTTCAGTGTGTCGTGATGGTTGGTATAGTCGTTGGCGCCGATGTCACATCAGGCAATGTCCGTCAAGAGTCGTGCTTCAATCCAGAGATGCTTGGTGATCTGAAGGTCGAGAACGGGACAAGTCTCTACTAGAGCTGCATCTGGGGATTGCGTCAGGTTCGTTTGCTGGCAGCTGTCACAGCTGGTAAACAGGCAGGCACGGAATGAGATGGGTGGTGGGCTACCTAGGTAGGCACCTACTGGGGTTCAGGTAGTAGTGAACCTGGGCACCTGATTAGTGAGGAACCTCCCTGGACAGGGAACGTACGTACGTAAGGCACCTTATGTGGCACCAGCTCATCACAGCTGGAAGAGCTGCGACGACCGGCCTGGACGCGCACTCTTCCAGTTGCCGTACCCTGTTAGGTACGTACCCCATAAGCAGGATGTCGGGTGGTACAGCACAGACCAGGCGTGGCCTAGACCCCCTGCCCCTCACTCCTTTCTTGCGAGGAACGGGTGTAATGAGCTGCCTTGCCCGGCTGTCTCCCTCTCCCCCTCCAAGGCCGCACACTAAAGAAAAGCTCGATACCACGACCGGCATCTGGCCAAGACCCACGAACCATCCCGCGACATCTACGACAACTGCCTTTCCCGGATCCGACTTGAATCGCATCCAAATCACCCGCCACATTTCACCCTCGTTCCGCACCAACACAGCTCCCCGCTATCTGCCCAACATGGTCAGTCTCCCTGCGACTACACATTACAGCCCTCAATCTGCGCTGGACCACGTCTCACCGATGTCAACAATGACCCTGCGCATTAGCTATGGCCGGCCGCCGCCATGCCAGCACAATGTCGCTTGGATTGATTAAGCTAACCTGCCCGTTTGTAGGCTGACTCCCTCACCGAAGAGCAAGTCTCCGAGTTCAAGGAGGCGTTCTCCCTGTTTGTATGTTTTACTCGCCTCTTCCGGCTGCCCTTCCCCCTCCCCCTCCCCCTCCTTGTGACATTGCCACAACTCACATGCGTCTCCTTATTTGGAAACCCCGAGGCTGACCCCCCGTACAGGACAAGGACGGCGATGGTCAGTAATCCATTCCCAACCTACCATGCACGACCTCCCGCATCACCCACCCCAACAACACGAGTCTACTATGCTCGCCTTGTGGCAACGCGGCCGCTATAGCAGTTACGCAAGTCTTCAGATGACGTCAGGCTGAACGACAACGCAGGCCAGATCACCACGAAGGAGCTAGGAACTGTCATGCGTTCCCTCGGCCAGAACCCCTCTGAGTCGGAGCTTCAAGATATGATCAACGAGGTTGATGCCGACAACAACGGCACTATTGACTTCCCCGGTATGCAAGAAAATCAGGCGATGAGACTGGATTTCGCATGGCTAATACGGAGAAACAGAGTTCTTGACCATGATGGCCCGCAAGATGAAGGACACTGACTCCGAGGAAGAGATCCGTGAGGCTTTCAAGGTTTGCATTGTCTACAACCGTTTTCCAGATCCCCACTGACTGGTCTCTACCCTTGCAGGTCTTCGACCGTGACAACAACGGTTTCATCTCGGCTGCTGAGCTGCGCCACGTTATGACCTCCATCGGCGAGAAGCTGACCGACGACGAAGTTGACGAGATGATCCGCGAAGCGGACCAGGACGGTGACGGCCGCATTGACTGTAAGAAAGGCATTCGCCAGATGTGGTGTGAACTCATGAGTCTTACTAACATGCTTTCTCTCAGACAACGAGTTCGTTCAGCTGATGATGCAAAAGTAAAAGGCTGCCCTGCACAGGTAAAACGAGATCCGGCCTCCCCGCATGCGAGAGCTCCTTGTCCTCGGGCGGGATATAGCGGTACTCGTCGGAGGATCTGGCCAGCGGATAGTCTGCTATTACTTCCTTTGAATGTCGGAGTTGTTTTTATGCAAGGTTCGGCGAAAGTGTGATAGTATGGACAGGACATGACAGGACATGAGTTGAGGGACGAGCTAGATGCTTGGCTTCCCATTGATGTGCCAGCGTTTTCGTCTCTGACCATCCTCACTTGCGCATGATGACTATTTAACGAATGACACTCTTCCAACCAGCCTTGGATCTTCTATCATCATGTTTAAATCAGTCTGATTTTTAGTTTTAGCGAGCGGTAGACCTCTTCAAGACAAGGCGTAAGACGTCGGAAGATGACATCGCTGCTTCAGCCCTACAGCCCTACAAATCGATGCAGGTGCGGCAATGTAGGGTCTTACAGGCCGTTTTTTTCTCGTTCGTCTTCGGTATCCAGCCCGGGATTTGCGCGGTACTGACCAACGCCTAACGCCTGGTGGAAAGGCCATTGACTATGTGGTGGGATCGGGGCAGGTCATCAGTGGGGTTGCAGGCACTGCCTCAATGCATGATCTCGTGGTCACGACGTTCCGTCATTCCGGGCATGAATTTACGCGTTTAAACTTCAGTGGGTAGGGATCAATCTATCTGAACAATATGTATGGCCACAAAATGAAGGGTCACTCATTTGTACGTGGATAAGGTCGCAAATAGTTGTCACACAGCGGAATGCACTATCAAACTTGATGTATAGCCGGACAGAAGTACGGGTGTGACTTGGAAGAGAAAAGCTTATAGAATCAATCAATCACTACTCAGGTCCGATGTCATAGGAAGGGAATTAAGTATTTATTAGTCCACTTCAATTAGACTCGCCGCCGCTGAGGTCAACGGTGGTTTGAAGCTGTTTGAGCACAGATGCCATGGTAGGGAGGTACGTCGCACCAACCTGATTTCCCAGGCATGAGGACAGTGTGCGGTATGTGGATTCGTGCCTCTGTAAAGGGGTACCCCACCAGGTAGCTGGCGGGACCAGGGTGGCTCTCTAGTACCTAGGTAGGTAGTTACTACTGGTGCCTGTCAACGACGGACACACAGGCGCCTTACGGTTGGCGATACCTTCAACCCACCTTACCTTTGGGGCACCATCTTGTCCCGCTTGCGATCCGAAAGCCTTACTCTCCCATGCTTTACGGCATCGCTCCACGTCGACGATTATCCCGCACCAATAAACGTTACCTCACACCGTCTGTCGGCCTTGACACCACGCAGAAGCCCCTTCTAAGGGCCACCGCCAAGTAGCCATCATGGCCTCGCGTACGAGCGTTCCCTTCTCTGACAATGGCCTCAAACAATTCACTCACACCATACCTTGCAGTCAAACAATTCATTCGCAACGTTCGCGCCGCCAAGACAATCGCAGACGAACGAGCGGTCATCCAAAAAGAAAGCGCTTCGATTCGAGCAAGTTTCCGAGAAGAGAGCCACGATCCTGGTGTTCGGTGTGAATGACCTTAAGCTGCAACAGCTGCTATTACTTTCTACATTTCTAGAGCTAACGTTTTGGTGACTAGGCGCAACAATGTCGCGAAGCTCCTATATCTCTTCACACTTGGAGAGAGAACACATTTCGGCCAGATCGAATGCCTGAAGCTCCTAGCATCACCACGTTTTGCCGACAAAAGGCTCGGCCATTTAGCCACAAGTTTGCTCCTCGACGAAAACCAAGAGGTCTTGACACTCGTCACCAACTCGTTGAAAAAGTACGATTTTGCTTAAAATATAGCAGCTTAGAAAATGCTAACATGATGCTAGTGACCTTGGTCATTCCAACCAATATATCGTCGGCCTCGCCCTCTGCACCCTGGGCAATATCGCATCTGTCGAGATGTCTAGGGATCTTTTCGCTGAAGTCGAACAATGCATCGCCACCTCGAATCCTTATATCCGCAGGAAAGCAGCCCTTTGTGCCATGCGCATTTGTCGAAAGGTGCCCGACCTCCAGGAACACTTCGTCGAGAAGGCAGCTCATCTTCTCTCGGATCGAAACCATGGTGTTCTGCTCTCAGGCTTGACCCTTGTCACAAGCTTATGCGAAGCTGAGGAGGAAGAAGGGGGCGAGGAAGGCATCGTGGATAAGTTCAAGCAGTTCGTCCCTCAGCTTATCCGAACACTCAAAGGGCTCGCCACGTCAGGCTATGCTCCGGAGCACGACGTTACTGGCATCACGGATCCATTTGTCCAGGTCAAGATTCTACGCTTGCTGCGAGTACTTGCAGTTGGCGATGCGCAGGTCAGCGAACAAATCAACGATATCCTGGCCCAGGTAGCAACGAACACCGATTCCTCCAAGAACGTGGGCAACTCGATTTTGTACGAGGCTGTTCGGACAATTCTGGACATCGAAGCCGACTCCGGACTTCGTGTTCTCGGTGTCAACATTCTGGGAAAGTTCCTTTCCAACAGGGACAACAATATCCGTTACGTTGCTCTGAACACTCTCATCCGAGTGGTGGCTATCGAGCCGAATGCCGTTCAGAGGCACCGTAACACAATCCTTGAGTGTCTGAGGGACCCGGATATCAGTATCAGGCGGCGAGCTCTGGATCTCAGCTTCACTCTCATTAACGAAAGCAACGTTCGTGTTCTGATCCGGGAGCTCCTCGCCTTCCTTGAGGTGGCCGATAGCGAGTTCAAGCCCACCATGACAAGCCAGATTGGCATGGCCGCAGACAAATATGCTCCCAACAAACGATGGCACGTGGACACGATGCTGCGCGTGTTGACCTTGGCCGGCAACTATGTCAAGGAGCCTATTATGGCCTCGTTCATCCGTCTTGTGGCGACCACTACAGAGCTACAGACATATGCCGTCCAGAAGCTCTACACCAGCCTCAAGAAGGACATCACACAGGAAAGCTTAACGCAAGCTGGCTCTTGGTGTATCGGAGAATACGGCGACGCGCTTCTTCGAGGTGGACAGTACGAGGAGGAAGAACTGGTGCAGGAAGTCAAGGAACATGAGATCATTGACCTCTTCGCGTCGATTCTCAACAGCAGCTACGCCACACAAGTGGCGACAGAGTATATCGTAACTGCGCTCATGAAGCTGACAACAAGGCTGTCCGATCCTGCGCAGATTGAACGTGTGAGACGTTTGCTGCAGGCAAACCAGACCAGCCTTGATGTCGAGGTGCAGCAGCGAGCCGTCGAATATGGCAACCTTTTCTCGCACGATCAAATCCGTCGGGGTGTACTCGAGAAGATGCCCCCTCCGCAGATCAAGGAAGAATCGAGGGTTTTGGGACCTGCTACAACAAAGAAGAAGTCCAACAAGGCAGCCAACAGAAAGTCCAAGATCATCAAGCCAACCGAAGAAGACCTTCTCTTCGACATCAACAGCGACGCACCGGCTAGCGTTCCAGCGCCTATTGGCGGCCAGAATAACGCCGATCTGCTTGCTGACATTCTCGGTGGCAGTGGTACATCGTCACCTGCACCAAACGCTGCATCACCCCCACCTCAGCAGTCGAACGTTGCAAGCATCATGGACATGTTTGGCCCCAGCCCAGGCCAGTCTGCACCATCACCTGCGCCTGGTGGCTCTAGCTTGGACATCATGTCATCCATGTCTGGCACACCACCGCCTGCGCAGGCAGTGCCGCAGGCCTCTGCGGGCATTCCTTGCTACGACGGCAACGATCTCAATGTTACATTCCAAGTGCAGCGCAACGCCGAGGGGCTAGTGCAAGCTACGGCGCGGTTCCGGAACACTTCGCATTCTGTTACCCTCTCGAACGTCGGTCTGCAAGCGGCTGTGCCGAAATCGCAGAAGCTACAGCTCATGGCCATTTCTAGCACGGATCTCAGCCCGGGAGCTGATGCGAGCCAGGTAATGAGGGTATCTGGCGTTAAGGGGGTATGCTTTTCCCATGCCACTATTTTATCGACGAAAATGCTTACCATGTTTTAGCCACTGAGGTTGCGTTTAAGGATTCAGTTCGTTCATCCCTCTGCGGGACAGTTGACAGAGCAAGTGAATTGGACAGAAGCGCAGTAAGTTCTTTGTTGCATATTCAAGGCATCAGGCGAGCAGCGAGTGTGCCTTGCCCGGTCTGCAGCAGATCGAGCAACAGGGGCACAGAAATACGAAAATACAAAGTGCAAGTCGCTCTGTTACTTCGAGCGAACTTTGTTGTCGCGATATCGCGTTACAACGGAGCGACGCTCGGTGGATGAACGCGAAAAGAGTAAATAGCCAAGACATTCGATCAACCTCGTCTATCTACTTCAATAGACATGAATTGAGCAGACGATTACAAGCCTGATGATGGGTGCCTGAGTGGAGACACTCTCTTCGCGGTTTCAGGAAGAGGAAACTCATTCAACTGAGGCGCTCACAACATGCAGGCTCTTTATCCTGATGTCATCATTTGTTTTTTCCACCCTTGTATCTATCACGCCGTGGCGGGTGGGGAGTGCTTCGATCCCTAACGTCTTTTTAAGAAGTCTGCTCCACCTCGGGGTCACTCGGCTGAAAGCTTCAATTGAACCTCTGTCGCTCGTCATATGGCGGCAACCAACACAGTCTTCGAAATATCACCGATAATCCGGTTTCGTGCATGTATCTTCGTTCCACCTTTTCTCTCCATACATACCTACAATGGCCACTCCAACTCATCCAACAACTTCACATGAGGAGCGCACTGCTGAGGAACCGCGTGATGCTGTATGATCGACCTGTCAACGCTGTGAAGCAGCATTTCATTCGTTGACAAATGGACAGGAGATACACTCAGTCATCGTCGACGATATCACCGAGATCAACTTGTCCGTTCGCCTCTTCAGGCTTAAGACAGTAAACGGGCTACCCTTGACAGTTCGTCGACCTTGCCCGACACCTGCTATGTGCAGCACCGTGCGAGATTAGCCCGTTTTCGTGTGAAGTTGACTCGTAATTGCAGTTTCTCCCAGGCCAGTGGCTTGATACCTTCGTCCCAGGCATACCTAAAGCAGGCGGCTTCACCATCACATCTCCCCCGCACCTTGCCTACTCGCCAGTACCCTACGTTGAGCTCGCCATCCAACGATCCCCGACAAACCCACCGGCGGCCTGGCTCTTCCAGCCTACCGCGCAGGTACTCGGAAGGACACTCCAAGTCCGTGTCGGAGGGGCCTTCGTCTGGCCACCGCCTCGCATGGAGCATGCCAGCGTGCAGAACATCCTGTTCGTGGCTGGTGGTGTGGGGATCAACCCATTGATGAGCATCGTGAGCCATCTTACGAGCGGCCCAAACCCTCCGCCGTTTACTGTAGAGTTCATGTATGCCACCAAGATTCCGTCCGAGGCATGGGACAACGGCAATCTGCGACTGGACAATATCCTGTTCATGACGAGACTATTAAAGCTATTTTCGGAAGGTTCTATTACTGGTCGGTTGAGCCTTTTCCTCACTGGCGATACTCGAGGAGAAAAGGCTGTTATCGACCTCCAGAGAGCAGAGCTATCAAATCCAAAACCCTGCGTGTCATATTGCAGGAGAATGGCAGTCGAAGATCTAGAAACAGCGTTGGGGCCAAAGGATCGGCATCAGGCCAGTGTCGCCTATATCTGCGGAGTGCCAGCCATGACGGATATGTTCGCACAGCATCTTGCCGGTCCTGGTGGCCTGTCAATGGAAAAGGACCAAGTTTTATTTGAAAAATGGTGGTAACAACACATACGGGTTAGGTAGGAAGAGCGAGCGCTGCATCTTTTTATCGTTTTGACGTTGCTTCAATCTAACAAGTTGTGCATCCCGAGCTACAAAACTTTGGATGATCATCCTGGTGAGTGCCACCTTCGTAGTTCGTCATCCATCAGTTGTATTCGCCAGATCCATGCTCAAACGTTCCTTTCCCTTGCGCCTACGAAGAGGGGATGGACTTCGCTTCAACCAAGCCCCCTCCGGTATTGGCACACCACTATTCGCCAAAGGGAGTGCTTGGTTGCGGAAACCGTGCCCGGCTGGTGACGATATGTCAGAAAGCCGACAATCAGTAGCCGCGTGGCTAATAATTTGCTGTTCGTTCGGTACATAAGCACGTGACGAAATTTGGGAACATTCGGAAACAGCCGGTGATACGCTATAGTTAGATAGAGACTCCGTACTGAGCGGTTGACGCAGTGGGCGACCTCCAGGGTCCGTGTTCCTCTCCGCGTTTGTCCTCAGTGAGCCCAGTACCACTCGTGTTGCAACTTGAATTTCAGCGTTTTCAACCTTATTATAGTCATCAATGTAAGGTAATAGTGATGAGGCGATCGACAATGCTCTGGACGCCCCCGATGACTTCCTTGAATGGCTCTCTGCCGGTGGCAGAATCGGCAGCGGCCGCTGCAAGTAATGATCGACCGGCCTTGAGATGTCTTGTGAGGCGGCAGAGTGTTGGTGTGCGACCACCGGCAGGATCTCCTCGCAGATGTCAAGCGTACGTGATGCTCTGGCTTCTTGATGAGAGGCACCATCAAGAAATTTCTTTGGCCAAATGGTCATGTCTCTCAGCGCGTTACCATCATCAAAACACACAGCCTTCTGAGTAGGCGACAGGCTGAAATCAAACCCATTCTTGTCGCTGGTCGTTGAGTCAAGCTCGGCTGATGCGTCGGTCTCGCCACCGTAGAAGAGAAGATCGGTGCTTGCGTGACGTTCAGACCAAGGAATAAGGTTCAGCTCCTTCAGGCTATCCTATGACCTGTAATAGAACCGGAATGCAGCAAAGGGAGAGTCCTTTGGGTCAATCAGCACCCAATTGTAATATGCGAGATCTTGCGGATTTTCCACCAAGCCACCGGAAGGGCATCTTTTACCGCGTTAGCGTGCTGGTCGCCAGAACGGATGCAGACCCAGACAGGAAAGCAATATCTTACGTGATGCCATAGTCAACTTGGTCACGATATTCGCCAGGGCGAGGAGCCTGTCTTTGTCTTCCCATAGATCTGAAAGCTTGTACCTCCAGTAGCCCTCCGTTCGTAGCAACAGACGTGCCAACTGTGTTGGCCGAAAAAAAGAAGTATCTTTTCTCAACGCCATCGGGCCTGAGGTTGACACCCTGTTCTAAGGAACGCCACCTGCTGCTCGGCTCGAATAAGCCATACTCAACGGTGCCTGTGTTGGCGTTCAGCTTGGAGCCATCGGTGCCCCAAGAGACCATTCGGCGGCCGTTGAGAAGGAGCACAAAGTAAACGTGGCTTGAGGATGCTGGGACACGGTCGACGACCCAGTCAACAGCAAACTGTGTTCCTGATTCTGAAGGGACGTAGACCGAAATCCTAGGATGTACCTTATGTTGAATACAGTAGTTGTTGTCTGAGCTGAGCTGTGTGGCAGATGGAGGATGGTTGAGAGATGGCTCTGTTGTGTCCGTGCCCACAAGGCGTACTGAACAGGAGTCGGGATGGGGAAATTCAGGGAGACTTCTTTCTTGCGTATTCAGCTCGTGTGCTGCTCTCGTGCCGTCGGGATGTCTTCTGATAGGAACAATCGAGACACGTATGCCTCGAAGCCATGCCATGTCTGACCAGATTGAACAGATCCTGCAGCGTGGTCGAGAACGTGTCGAGTTCGCTAGCCGTGCGAAATGAATCAATGTGTTGAAGAAAGAACACTCAGGCGGCAGGAAAACCAGAAAAGGAGTTGAAACCAGGCTCCTGCGTTTTCACGTCAAGAATACGAGGGAAACACAGTGAATGTAGTACTGCCTGTTGTGTTGTTGTGCACTCTTTGGCTGTTTCAGCCCGGCCCAGAGAGGAAGGCGCCACCCAGATTGCGACAAGACCTAGCCTTCCGTGTTGAATATAAACTTCTAATGAACTTTTGCTGCACCTATAAGAATGATGTGGCGACCAAAACAAACTAAGAAAGGTTGTTTGGCTTAGACCTGCGCAGCCCTCGTCTCATGTCGATATTGTCTGTCACCAAGACAGCTCAAGGACTCTCGTTAGGTTAGGGACATATGGCTGGTTCATGACCGGAGCGCTGGGTACATGTCGCTACCTGAAGCTTACCAAACCGAGATCAAGGCCCTCGATCAATTCAGGCACGCATGTGCATCTTTTTCATCTCGCCGTCGCCAACCAGGCCTGGCAAAGCGTCGAGACACACGATTCTGGTTAACGCCGGTAATATCACGTGCACAGATGTAGGCAGGCCAAGGTCGTGTTTCTTATTTGGTAAGATTCCTTTCGAATGAAAGCTGCTCTCCCGGTGCTCTTGTACAATTGGTTGCTTCCCCGCTCTCCGTTATCATCCTTGGAGCTCATGAACTCTCGGTCAAGCTCTTCGTTGACTCTTCACCACCCAGGGTGCCCAGGCTTCGGATGTGACCGGCGCTCGGAGCGCTGTCTCGCTCGCTAGCAGTCGCCGCCTTTCTGTACGCAGCTTGTAGCGCTCTCGTCCTCGCGGCCTGTTTGTTTGGACGAATGTGAGTCGGAGCTTGGCGCGTCTTCGGAGTTCTCCCCAGGAAAGCTGACTGACCTCTTTCTTGTGGTGCAGGCACTCGTAGTAGTCCTCTAGAGCGGCACCACACTTGGCCTTGCCCTTGCCATCTTCCTCAGTCGTGTTGACAACGTAGCAGCCAAGCAGCTCTTGCCAGAAGGGGAAGCACCTCGAGGGTCCTACACGGCGGAATTCCCACCCGTCAGCGATCAATACCTATCAATTGGGACATATCGTGGTCGTACCGCCATGTGCGCCGAATCCGGAAGCCATTGTATTGGTTGTTAGCTTCAACGTTGGGGTGCTCGTGAATCTGGTCGATGTCCTTGCAGTCGATGCGCACTGAACGTCGAAGTTGGAGATGGACGTAAACTGTGTTACATAAGCAGAGATGACCCAATCAAAACTGCTTCATCATGATTGGCTGACATGTCTTGAAGAGCACGAACAGTTGACACCCTACAGACCGCCTGCCGCTTCTGGCGCTACCCAAGCCTATGTGCCCCTCTTTCCTTTCATTCTGCCGTTCAGTTTCTGAAAGTTTTATGATGTTCGAGATACAGCATATGCTTCCAAGGCGACCGTAGGCAACGATCACAGAACCAGCATTTAGAGTCATCTTGTGGATTACTATTTCCATTGTCATCAACAACACAGTCACAGGCGTGGCCTGGGCTTTAATCTAAGACCGCGATCCGGGTTGGGCTGGTGCCCATGGCACCAACAAGAACATTCGAGGCAGCGGTTCTGCGGGTTGGCCAATGTCTGGTCCATGAGCAACTGCGGCTGGAAATCCGCTGGTGGTCGACATTCATGATGGTGGTATGGAATTTCGCATAGGATGTTGGGTTCGCGCCTGGACAGTGTGCGTTTGAAGTGGTGTGGTCGAGAATGGTATGATTCGTTTGGTGACTCGTGCGTCGAGGATGAGCCGACGGCTGGCTACCTAGACAGCCTGGCATATGTGCTCCCTGACACCGTGCCGCCCCGGGGCAATTGCCCAATGTTCTACCCGTAAAAACCAAAGCCCAAGTCTTGTCCACTCTTCCCCAGCGCCGCCAACAATTTACCGAAGACGCCTGGCCTCACGCTCGGACTCGAGGAGGCAAAGAATGTCATCCTCACGGACTGAGAGATCACACTGGTTAGCTCAACGACCCTTCAAGCTCTGTTTGCGATAGAATGCCGACGTACCAGGGCCCTTGACGTTACGGATGATGGAACGGGTCTGGTCGTCCATGAACTCGACGCGAACCTGGGTGACACCACCGCGCGAGCCTATTCCAATCAATCAGCATCCAGCCGCCGCCAAAAGTGTGCTTTCGTCGAGTGCATTCGTACCAGTGCGGCCAAGGACACGGGTCACCTTGACCAGCTTAACGGGAGTCTTAGAGGAATCCATCGTCGCAAATGTGAGGTTTTCGGAAGCGGGTTGCGATCGATCGGGTAAGTGGACGAGAGGGTGTGTCGGAGCGTTGGGCGAAGGGCGATTTGTCGTGAGGCCGTTTTGGTGGTCAAAGTGGATGTTTTCTGTGATTCGGCAGGGTTTTCGGAGTAGGGCAGGCACTTTGCGCTGCCAGTCACGTGCCTGGGTGCCTTGGAGTGCAAGGTTGTGTGCACAGTGCATACCAGCTGTCAGCCACCCCAGCCAGGCTGAGGGAGCCCCATCAAAGGTCAAGGATGACGCTGTGCTTCGCTCCACTTGCAGACAGGAAGGAGCTTTGGGGATCTTCAATCAAGCCGATGTGGCTTATTGGATGCGGCTCCCCGTACAACATCGACTCGATACGTTGAAACCTGTACAAGGTTGACCTTCGACCACTAAACTCGTCACCGCTTCCGAATATGTGACTTTTTTGCGCATAATGAGCCTCATCCTGTCTCCACCGAAACTCGTACTCCTGGCTGTTCATTTGGCGACCACCGCCGACGTGAACAGCTTGGCCTACCTGACGTCGCGATATCCAGCCGTCCTGCGAAAGTACATCATCCTGCGCATCCTTCTGACATACCTTCCGGAAACGGTACCGTCTGCAGAATATGTCAACTTCCTTAAGGAGCTGGAATCGGGCGACTTTGACGAACACGAGGCCAACGATTTGAATTATGCGACTGTCCACGACTTGAACGACGAGGAAGCCGCCAAGAAAGTCCGCAAACTACGACTACTTCCCTTGTCCGATGGAAAAGGCTCTACAGACGCCGATGAAGACCACATAACGTCATTTCTCTATCGGAGAGCTTACCGGGTGGATGAGGAAGCTGGATTGCTCGCGCAACTGCCGGTTCTTCTTGCGCCTTTCCTTCACCACAGCCACGACCTGCGCACTTGGGCGATTTCAACGCTTTTGCCGCTCTTGAGGAGGAATCACGAATATTATCCACAGGATCCTGTCGCAAACACTCTCCTAGAGTTCCAGAAGCTGCCAGACAACATCGCCATCGGTGTCTTGCTGTCGAACACTGGAGCAAATGGCGATCTCAGCACTGTTGGGCGGGACCTACGTGGCTTGGTTGGACCATGGCTCCACGACAATACACGCTGGACATCTGCAATGAGTGCAGACTCATCATTGCAGCTTGCCATCAGTGCAGGAACGAATACGGAGGGCCTATTGTGTCCTGGCTGGGAGCAGGTCTTAGGATGGCTGACTGCCCATGCAGCGCGGTCCTGGAGAGTTGCCCTTGCTGCTGTCGAGCAGTATAATGGCCCGGAAGACGTGGATCTGGGTGAATACGATGGCATCTGGTTGCGAGAAGAACAGCAACAGTACCTCGACCGACGATATGCACGAGCTATCCTTGCCTGCGCTTACATCATGCCAGAGGCAAACTCGGAAGCTCTCCACGGCGCTTATCAAATGGTATCCAAGGTTATGGAACTTCTCGGCAACGATAGCTCAACCTCGCTTGAGCAGGATGTGGATAACCTGCAGACTGTCACCGATATTGACAGCGAGCTCTTCTCATCACCGAAAAACACGGCTTACATGCGCGACGACCTCCTCCACGAGAGCAATCCACTCACTTCTCCCTCTCTGAAGGCGGCACGACTCCTTCAGGCGCTGATATTGAGCGCATTCCTCTTCACCCAGGCTGGGTATCCGTGCTCAATCAAACGCGCGGGAGACCTCGCATTCATTCAGGACGAGCGTGAGCAAAAGATGGAGGCAACAAAGCTCGTCCATACGATAGTAAATCGAGCTCCACGGAATGATGAGAGCTATTGGACGAGATCACGGAGGCAAATCTTGTGGCTCCGTGACTGGGGCGCGAAGTCTAGTTCAGAAGGCTCAGGCTCTGGAGTTCTCGGTCGAGTAACATCAAGCTTTCTTGAGGCCGAGATTTTGAAAGGCCTTCTTGCGAATAATCGTAAGAAGTGCCCGATTATTCTATCTTGGAGTTGTTTGCTAATAATGCTCTAGAGTATTCCCTTGCTGCCTCGTTATACGAAGGCGCCGAGCAATCGCTGTCACAACAAACTTTGCAAGACACCATTCTCGGCGCAGCCCTCAACGCATATGACAACGCCACAAATCCCAATCGCACTCGGGGCGGCCTCAAGAAATGTGACGAGATGTAAGACTAGACCTGGTACCCTCGAGACAAACACCTCTGATTATCCCTCAGCATCAACGCCTTTCCCCAGACGATTGGCAAGTCATTGCCCGCGAGGCAACGCATCGACGCTTTGCTGAAGGCAACCCATGCTCTGAGTGATTACAGACTAGTGCTGAAGCAAGGCGAGCCTTTCAGCCCTGTCGTTCTTCGCGTTCACGCGGACCCGTTATCGATCATTAGCAAGGTCCTTGAGCAAAACAAAAAGAGCTACACCCAGATGCAAGATCTCCTGGAAGTGGGATACAACATGGTCAAGGCTGGCCTTACGACGAAGAGCAGCCACGGTACAGCTGTATCAAGCGAAGTCATTGACGCTCACGTTCTGCGCGCTGAGGAGCGCATTGTCGCTATGTGCATTGAAGCAGCGCTCCGAGAGGACGACTTCGAGACTGCCTATTCATACGTTGTTAGCAGAATATCGGAGCGCGGTGGAACACCTGCCCGCATCACTAGTGA